AATAATAATAATAATAATAATAATAATAATAATAATAATAATAATAATAATAATAATAATAATAATAATAATAATAAAATGATGAACGAACACGATGCCTAGTGGCTGAACAAATGCGCACGCACCGTCTTGCTCATCGACTTGGCTTTGACGTTCAGACATCTACGCGGCTAAGAGTCTTCATTGTATTCATAGAACGTTCAATATGTGACACTAATGGGTAAAGGAACAATACATTTTGGTTGGCTAAGTCGAATTTGTTCATCTTTCAGGCTTTCACAGAAACATTTCTCCAAGCATCTCTCAGTTCATCTGCTTCCATTCCAACTAGTCTAGCCATCACCTACGACCAGAATTATACTACTAATCTACAACTCTGATAGTTCTACAGCAATACCACGTGACAATTCACGGGCTGATCAGGAATACCAGGTGGAACAACGGATGGAGACACATCTTCTCAAAATTATAACACAAACCCTCTCCTAAGGTGCGGACAGGATGCCAGGTTTCCGGTTACACCTGTTACAAAGCCAAGCATAGACAAAACGTCGTGATTCCATAACAGCTCAGGATTTGGAGCCAAGATTATCCAAGACTCTGCATCCGAAGGCCTTGTGCCATGGAGGGAATCCGAACCTGATGGCAGAGACCGTGCGCCCATTGTGATTCACTACTCGGCTATGATGAACGGAGGGACCTGGGATTGGAAATTCCAACTCGCTATTCATGATCCTGTCCAGTGTTGGGAGTATTTGAATCAAAATGGCGATCCAAAGGCCGGCTTAGAGGGGTATGGGAAGTTTCTAGCCACCCTCTGGTCAGAGACTTATAAGGTCTCGTTCAAGCCTAAGAAACGCCGAATTTCCATGGAAGTTACCAGAATTGAAACGGCGAACTATCCAAAGGCTAACAAGTAAAGCCAGCACTGAAGCAGAGCTCTAAGGATTGGACTAGAGACATCTTGATGACGTTGGATATGTTATTTCACTTTGTTGGAGGAATAGTGCCTGGGTAGTCTTTGCTGTCTATTAGTAATTTGTGCAGTTTATGAAATATACGCCTTTTTGCCCCATTTTAAAGATTGAAAGTGTTGATGGATTGTTCGTGTCTGGCACCTTCACTCTCTCGCCCAAGTTTCACTCTCCTAGAGTAGGGAACTAAAGGCCCATTGCACGTCTTTCTTGGCAGTAGCAGCCAGCCTGATTGGCTCAAAGACGCAAATATCATCCGGTTTGGGTCAGTACTCCAGACTCTCGGGGAGTTTACAAGGTAGAGCGTTGTAGAAAGCCCGGCTTCAGTTGCAGAATATGCCTGTTCTGTGCTTGTAAGCCAGTGCCGTCTTTTCCCCCTACAAGTATCATCTCGGCACCTCTGTTCACATTGGCGAGCCAAAAAGCATGCCCCTCTTCCCAGACGCAGACGCTCTCAAACTGCATGTGCATGGACACGCGGGTTAGCTTGGGTCTACGATATTAACCCATCAGTAGCTTTTGGCTAAGGTTATTCTGCCGGGTCTTTGCTATTTGCCGACAGACCCCAGGGCTTGTGGTGTTGCTTCGCCGGTTGCCAAGACAGAGCTACTGTATGGATGCTGTTCTGTCTTGTCTGTGTGGGACAAAGATTGAACAGATGATGAGATGGGAGTGGCGGGGAAGCGGGTTTTTCACGCTCCGTCCAAGTGAAATAGGTACTGTCTGAAGCCTGAGTTTGCTGTGCGAGTATATCGTCTGTTTCGCAGTCTTGAAATAGGTCCATGGGATCAAATAGTACTAGTAGGTAGTGAATGGAGCCCGGAGGCTAGATCTAGGCGTGAGACGGATGTACCTAAAGATGTCCCCATACCGGGAGACTCCAGGCAATAAACTGACAGCCCGGCACCTGGATTCCGAACGGACTAGGGACATGGTCTACATGCTGCCTTGTATAATTGATCTGTCAGACTGATCAGGCCTCCCGCGAGCTGACCTTCCTAATGGGAAAATAAGACTATTGAATCCTTAAATACTTTTTAGTGCCATATGCATTCTCTCGCCGTTCATGGCCCTCGATAGTACCTTGGAAGGTATTTGGTGCATGATTGTACATGTACCTACCAGATCAATTAGTACCTTTTTACGTCTGTACGGCTGGAGCTTCACCGGTGCCGTTTCAGTGGCTCCACTGCATGGTCCAGTTACCCCGTCTCCGTCTGGCCTCTTTCAATCCATCAATCAATCAGATGAACTACTTCGCGTGTCTGTACATACCTTACATGCAATGTTATCGTCTTGATAGGTACCTAGGTACCAAGAACCGAGGTAGCAGCCGGAATTGGCTCGGCTTTTTTATGCTTCTTGTTAGTACAGGCATCTTCAATGGGCTGCACTGCACAGGTACATGCGGAGCTGCTGATGGGGGCCGCGCTGGCGTTGTACCTGCTTCAGCTTCTGGTCGAGATGCCAATGCCAAGACAAACCCGCCACTAGTACGGAGGTGCGATGCTGCCAAATCGCCTCAAGGGCAAAAAGTCCCTGCAGCTGCGAATCTCCTCTCGCGCTCATCTGGCCGGATCGCCTTGCTGGTGACCCTTTTTGGCCGTCGGCTTTTTCCGTATCTTTTTTCTTTCTTTTTTTTCCTTTTTCCTTCTTCCTCTGGCATTTCCTAGCCTTGGGACTTGCTCATGTGCTCGTGATACCGCAGCTCAAGCTTCGGAGCGTTCCTGGCCAATTCACGTGAGGGCTGGGGGATTCGACCTGCTCCCTCAATCTCTCCTCAATCTGCTTCTCTTTTTTTTTTTTTTTTTTGGCTCCTGTCTGGCCTGAGGCTGCCTTACACCGTCCGTCACAATGGCACGACGTAGGTACAGGCTGTTTATGGTCTGTGCCGTCGTCATTCTCTTCCTCCTCTACAGAGTCTCGCAGAACACATGGGAAGACCCTGCGCAGCATGCTGGTCTTTACCGTCCTCCCACCTCGAATTCGCCTGCCGCGGGAGTAGAAAGCCCGCCGAAACCACCTCCGAAGCCTGCGCCCGAGCCCGAGCCCGAGAACATACCTGAAACAAAACCCAAGCCTCAGCCCGAGGCCGAGGCCGAAGCCAAGCCCAAGCCCGAATCGAAGCCGGAGCCGGAGCATGCTGCCAGTCAGAGCAAGCAGAGCAAGCAGAACAAGCTCGATGATGAAGATGACGGGCCCGGCGTCAAAATTCCAAAACTGAAAGAGCTGGACGACTCCAAGCCAGCAGTCAATGGCGGAGCGCCTGACACCGACGAGGATGAAGTGGTTGAAGATATTCACCAGAAGAATCCGCCAAAGAACAACCCTGGAAAGCCAGTAGATGATCGGATCCATTGGCGGCCTGTTGGTGAGCACTTCCCTGTGCCCCCCGAGTCTGCTATAAGCCTTCCCACTGGAAAGCCGCAAAAGGTCCCCCGAGTGCAGCACGAGTTTGGCGTCGAGTCACCAGAAGCCAAATCCAGACGAGTCACGAGACAACAGCGTGTTGCCAAAGAGATTGAGCGGGCGTGGTCGGGCTACAAGAAGTTTGCGTGGATGCACGACGAGCTCTCGCCCGTCTCTGCCAAGCATCGCGACCCCTTTTGCGGCTGGGCTGCTACCTTGGTGGATTCCCTGGACACCCTATGGATTGCGGGCCTCAAAGACGAGTTCGACGAGGCGGCCAAGGCTGTTGAGAATATCGATTTCACCACGACTCCTCGCAATAATATTCCAGTTTTCGAAACGACCATTCGATATCTTGGCGGTTTGCTCGGCGCCTTCGATGTCAGCGGTGGCCATGATGGTGGCTACATCATCCTTCTGAACAAGGCTGTTGAGCTTGCCGAGATCCTCATGGGCATATTCGACACGCCGAACCGTATGCCAATCCTATACTACCAATGGCAGCCAGAATATGCCTCCCAGCCTCACCGCGCAGGCTCTGTCGGTATAGCGGAGCTTGGAACGCTCTCCATGGAATTTACGCGCCTAGCCCAGCTTACCAGTCACTACAAATACTACGATGCTGTGGATCGCATTACTGATGCTCTGGTTGAGCTCCAAAAACAGGGCACCAGCATTCCCGGCTTGTTTCCTGAGAATCTGGATGCATCTGGGTGCAACCATACCGCAACTGCCATCCGCAGCTCACTTAGTGAGGCAGCGCAGAAGCAGATGGATCAAGACCTCTCCAAGAAGCCGGGTAACTTCATGCCTGGAAAGGTCCCCAAGACCGAATCTCAGAATGCCGAGAAACGCCCCAATCAGAAGCAAAGTGCAGACGGCAACGAGTTTATAGTTGGAAAGCTCAGTGCTTATGAAGCAATTGCAAAATTGCAAGCTGCTGATGAGGCCAGGGCAAAGGCTTTGGACAAGGCTGCAATCAAGCCTGCGGGAGAATCTGACAGCTTCATTGTTGGTAAAATCGGTGCTGAGGACCCAAGGGACGATCAAACTCCAGCTGCGAAACCGGATGCTTCAGACAAATTTGTTGTCGGCAAGATAGGGGCGGAGGATCCAAGAGACGATCAGACACCAGCTGTGAAACCAGATACCTCAGATCAAGGATTTGTTGTCAGCAAGATCGGGGCGGAAGATCCGAGAGATGATCAGAAAATTCCGGACGCATCTGGGACAAAATCCTCAGAATTTCTCGTCGGCAAAATAGGCACTGAAAATCCGGAATATGCGAAGCAAGGGCCCCGCGAAGATGACAAAACGGAAACTCGTCCGTTGGATTCTCTCCGTCGCCGAGACACCATTCCTGGTGAAGGTACATCTGTGGAGAAGCCCAGCCAAGTGCCATCCCAACAGACGGCGAGGCGAGGGACGCCACCCTTTGCGGCTGATGGCTTCACAGCCAACTGGGACTGTGTTCCTCAAGGCTTGGTAGTGGGTGGATACGGGCTCCAGCAGTACCACATGGGAGGTGGTCAAGACTCAGCTTATGAGTATTTCCCGAAGGAGTACCTACTTCTCGGCGGTCTGGAGTCCAAGTACCAGAAGCTGTACGAGGACACTGTCGAAGCAATCAACGAGTGGCTCCTCTACAGGCCCATGACGGACGGCGACTGGGACATTCTATTCCCCGCCAAGGTCCAAACAGGTGGAAACCCCTCTGAAGACCTGACCGCAACATTTGAGGTTACGCACCTCACGTGTTTTATTGGCGGCATGTACGGCCTGGGTGGCAAGATCTTTGGCCGCGAGAAGGACCTTGAGATAGCCAAGAAGTTGACGGATGGCTGTGTCTGGGCATATCAGTCAACCGTCTCCGGTATCATGCCGGAAGGTTCCCAAGTTTTGCCTTGTCCGTCACTGGAGAAGTGCGCTTTCAACGAAACCCTCTGGTATGAGAAGCTGGATCCTGCAAAGGACTGGAGAGACAAGCAGGTGGCCGAGTGGGAAGAGAAGAAGGCGGCGTTCGACAAGCAACAGCGAAGCAAGGACCCCAGAAAACCTAGCGACAAGGATAAAGAGGCTGCTGGCGAAGCCCTCAAGGAAACTGCCCAAGACCACAGCGAGTCTGCCGGTAGCTCCAAGGCCATTCACAAGAGGGCAGCTGTTCCGCCGCCAAAGTCGAGGGCTGACGAAGATGTTGGTTCAGAGCTGCCGCAGTCTCTCAAAGATAAGATTGGTCTCAAGGGTGACGAGCAGAAAAAGCCAGCAAAGAGCGGCGTCGGTATCCAACGAGAGCCTGGTGACCCAATCGACTCAGTATTGGAAGCCCACCGTCTCCCTCCCCAGGAACCGGAAGAGCAGCAAATCATCCTTCCCGAGAAGCCTGAGACGCACGAAGAGTTTGTAAAGAAGCATATTGCCGACTATGGTCTCGCCCCCGGCGTCACCCACATCACTTCGAGACAATATATCCTCAGGTAAGAGGCTCCTTTTTTGTATACCGAGTTGCATCATGGCACCCCTTTGCTAACCTCTCACCACTAGACCCGAAGCCATTGAATCCGTGTGGTACATGTATCGCATCACGGGCGACCCCACCTGGATGGAGAAGGGCTGGAAGATGTTCGAGGCCACCATCAGCGCCACCCGCACAGAAATAGCCAACAGCGCCGTCGACGATGTCAACAGCCAAGAACCCGGGCTCAAGGACGAAATGGAGAGCTTCTGGCTCGCTGAGACGCTCAAGTATTACTACTTGCTGTTCTCGGAGCCCAACGTCATCAGCTTGGACGAGTGGGTGCTCAATACCGAGGCTCATCCTTTCAAGAGGCCCGGTGGTAGCGTGATTGGACACAGTATATAAAGATCGACGGCGATGAATGAATGGGATGGGAGTAACCACTACAGGAAGCAATGGATTATTTTTATTTTTTCATTTCAGCATGTCTATGTTTTTGTCTCTGGGGTTTGTTTCTGTTCTTTTTTTTTTCCCCTACTTGTTTATTTTGCAAAAGTCATGAACAAAGCATCCGTGTTGCATATGGAGTCGAAATCACGACGGGCGTTGGGAAGAGTATTGCTTAGGAAATATGAAAAATACTAGAATTCTATAACAAAACTATATGCATCTGGTCTTTTGTAAAAACCAACTGTTGCGCCTAGACATTGTACCTCGTAGGATAAGAAGAACAAAACCAAGAAATTTCCCTCGTACCATGACCTGTTCATCTTTCTTGCATCCTCACCCATTCTCGTTGGAATCGAGAAGAAAAAAACTCAAACATCCTACCTCCTCCATTCATTCATTCTCCGATAGCCATCACGTCTGCTATTTCGTATAATACACATAAACCGCTCGTTTTTATATGTCAATCATTCTGCACGGGGAGAAAAAAAAAAGAAAAAAAGAGAAGGAAAAAAAAACAAAGACATCAAGGTCGATAGATAGGATATATATACCCGTCGGTCCTTCTCTCCAAGCCCATCCCCTATTGTATTTCCCCCCAAAGACAAGAAAAAGAACAAGAAAAGACAATGAAAAGCATAATAAAAACATTGATCCATAAACAATAGCACATGACAAATTCGTCGTCGAATGCCCAATGCATACTCGTCGTCTATAATTCGCCCAGTGTGACATTTCGACTTTGCCGTTTTCCTCGGGCTTCTTCTTATCCAACAAATGCCGTTCTTCGTCCTGTTTATCTGTTGCTTCGCATCGTCGTACAGCGGGCGTATCGAGAAGAGGGCAAATAGATCGATCGTTCGTAAAGGCCGGGGCTTCGGTAATGTCGTTTTGTCTCAGTTGAAAGCAAGATGATTTTTTTGGTTCTTTTTTTCGGTTCGGTTTTTTTGTCGTCGTTTGGACACATTAAGTATTCTTCGTGAACGCCGTCGTAACTCCGATGCTGATGCCTGTAAACCAACCAACCCCGTAAAGTCGAAAGTTGTGCCGCCCGTTTACACGCCCCTGGTATCGCCCATCACATATACACATAGACTTCCCGTCTCATATCTCATATTCCACCCGTCATAGCCGCATTGCTTTTTATTCCCTCGCATTAAACCCACTCATGCTTCATCACACCATTGAACTCAGGACGCGTATGCTCAATATCATTACGAGCAAACCAATGGTGACGATGATGAGCAGCGTAAACGAGAACCAGCCCATTACCATGGCGCTGCTTCCCACGCCGCTCTTGACCACACCGTTGCCAAAGTCTTGAGCAATAACGGATGCTGCGACGGATGCAGTATGCTGCCAGAGAACCGAGACGAGAACGAAGATGGACGAGATGAAGATGATGGCCAGTGCGACTTGCGAGACGGGGCGAGAGGGGAATGGCTTGACTTCGCGCTCGGATCCTTCAGAGTCCTCCTCCTCATGCCATCCGGGAAAGGTAGCCAAAAGAAGCAGACAGATGAAGGCGAAGATGATGGCGATGATGCTAAATGGCGGCGGTCAGTAAAGATGCATATGCGCGCGCAATTTGCCCGAGGGAAAAAGCCACTCACATCAGGTAGGGAAACACAATCATGTCTTTGAATTGGGCCGCCAGCCAAATGAGGTTGAGAGGGTCCTGGTCCACCGAGACTTCCTTGGCCAAGGCGGTCGCATTGTTACTACACAGCCACGAGCCGCCGTCCGGGTTGATGCAGATGCCAAAGTAACCAACTCGAGCCTGCAACTGGGCGTTTCCAGCAAAGCTCTTGAGGGCGCCGTAGAAGCTGTAATCGACCTGCGCCGTGTCGGGGTGCGCCTCGTAGCCCTTGTAGTAGATGGAGAGCAGGAAAATGCCGGGGATCAGAGGCGACGAGGATGAGCAGCCAGCAAGCAGCAGCGCTAAGATGAGGCGGTCAGCAAGACACACGAGTAATTGAGTTGAGAAACAACGCGACATACAAAGCAAGATGATTGCGACGACGATCAAAATCATCAGCACGTGGTGGTAACCCAGAAAGGGGACGAATCCTGTCGAGATACAATGTTAAACCTTTTACCGCATTCCAGAGCCGCGTGGCCACAATGTAACTCACGATGCCATCCCAGATGAAATTTGCGCGCGACGATCCTCGTGCTGGAACTCGAAGTCGAGGTGGTATGGGTTCCGCTCGCCATTGTTGCGATTTCCACAGAGGGGAGTTATCCCTCGTTAGAACCGAGACTGGTTGAGCGTCGAGACGATATCAGGAGAGAGCAATCGACAGCCGCGATGCTCCAGGACAAGAGGCGACAGCCGAGGGATCAAGAGCGCCGGGAGCGCAAGCCGTTGTAATCGCGCACGCAATGCTGCTGCGTGCCCCACGCAAGACGCTCTTCGCTGTGCAGCCTGAAGCCCGTCGCGATACCCCTCGTCAAGACGTTTCGAATTGTCGCGTGGCAGCGAGACGGCGCAAGCGCAACGCAACGCAACGCAGGCTGGAATGTGGATAGCAAAAAGCCCGGGTCTATCGATAATCGTCAAGAACAAAATGTTCCTTCAAAGCGAGCGTCCGAGTAGAATGCGCTTGGACCCTGCAATGTCGAGAATGCGGATGTCTTGCTGCGTGCTATCAGTTGTCATGGACGACGTGCAGGACGAGACTTGGCTCAAAGAAGAGAGCAGCGCCCAAAAGAGGAATTGGAATCGACAAGAGAGTGGCACGACGTAACACGTACAGTAGCCGGGAAAACGGAGAGGGGCCCTTCTCTCTCTCTCTTCCCAAAAGTGACTTTGACTGAATTCTTCGCTGTCACTCTTTTTTTTTTTTTTTGGTAATTCAGATGGCTGGGGGGAAATGCATTCGTGAGTAACCAACCATCCGAATTTCGCAAACCTGCGGTCGAGGCAGGGACAAGCTCGCATTTTGGTTGGCCCAGCCACGCCTTTTACGGTATTGACTTCCGTTGGCCGAGCGACCGGGGTGACGTTGGCAAACAGCGGGGCGCCGGGCCCGCGGGGGGGCGCTTCAGTGGCTGGAGGTGGGCATCGCGTAGGTTCCAGTGGAGGTTTAGGTCCTGAAGAAGCCGCTGAGGCCATTGAGGCTGCACGGATTACAGGGGCCGCAAAGCGCTGCTGAAGCGCTTTCCAGGACCCGGTTACAGTGGGGGGAAGTCTCTTTTTTCCAGCGGGTGCCTTGCAGGGGGGGAGCCAGTGCGCTAAAAAGAGCTGGAGGCAGCTGGGCCCTTTTGGAGAGCGGTACAGTAGGTAGAGATACACGGAGCGTTGGCAAAGAATCTGGATTTGCACGCGATCGATCGTCGGGGAGGCTTCAGGGCTCAGGCGGGTGGGTAAGACACGCATGGCTTTTCGAGGACCTGCAGCATCGGTCGGTAGTTGTTACGTTTGGCATGTGAATTACTAGTACAGGCGGCTGTTAGATCTCGCGTGCTGCTGCTGCTCTGTCTGTCTCTCTTACGCGGGCTCTCTTTTTCCAGAACAGATCAATGCGCATAAGACGAGGTTGGTGCTTGTGCTGGGCATCACATCAGCGCGACAGACAAGAGCAGTGCTCGTATCTCGGCGGGTTGCCATGACAATCCATTGGCTCTCGCAGCCAAGGCGAGCTGGCCGGAGCTAATGCTTAGGGTCGTGTCAGGCATTAATTGGCAGCTCGTGTGTCGCGTCCGCTCCGTTGCCAGATCCTGGTGTAGCTCTTACGAGTAATCGCACATGTACCATGGATGCATGGATGGACGGAGGCGCAGCCCTACTGACCGCCTGAAAAGAGTTCGAGTTGGAGCTCGGAAGCCGTGGATCAACAATGGAGTCGTCAACTTTTGTAGCCTTTGGCAGAAGGTGTCTATATATAGCAATTGAATGTTTATTTCGCGCATGTCAACATGGGACTTACTTTTGACTAGGTACATTTCTCACAATCGGGGGATGCCTCGGCAGTGACAGTAATCCAACAGTAATGCGTAGGTACCTAGGCTCGTACTCGTATGCAGCCAAAACAATTGCAAGTCAATCCGACTGCAGAGAAACGAGAGCAAGCAGCTGCATGCCCCTAATCAATGCAGACATGCCTTGCGCCATTTAGAACACTTCTCCGTCAGCTCTGCATGTCTGTGCTGTTTCCAGCCGTATACTTGCTCAGCTTGGCGGCTTGACCCCTGCGTTTGCATTTTGCTGTCTGCAGCTCGTTATTAGTACGGAGCGCCTGTTCCGCCTGATTCCCGCCATTAATACTACCACGACCATTTTGTCGAAAATCATTCCATCTTACTCTGTACTACTACCGTTATTATTGCCTTTGATTTTGCAGAGAAAAAAAATGAATAGAATGATATCTAGACTCGCTTACTCTTTGTCGATATGAATCCAAGTGATGAAATCGAGTCCAATGTGTCGTGCCTCGGAAACTCTTCGGTAGACGCATATCGATAACGGGCTACCCACCAATAAACATGGCCAGCTATCCGCAACGTACATCTACATCGTCATACCTTCCAGCTTCGACGCAGCTGTCCATGGCCGCATGCAAAAGTGACGACCATGTCTGGAATTACCAATGGCATCTCCCTTGATACTCGAGTTGAGGATTACCTCGAGGATAAGCTCCAGTCCACCGCTGATCTCGAAAATCTCGACCAACTGCTCACAAATGTCGAACTACAGCGGAACCAGCTCCAGTCGCAGCTCGACGATGCCGTCAAGGAGCTCGAGGAGGCGCGGCGCACGGCCGACGACCGCCATGCTGCGCTCCAAACCCGTATTTCCGAGTTCAACGAGTTGCAAGAAAGCATCGACAGGCGCGTTCTGATAGCTGCTGCATCGGATGCGCCGAGCGAAGCCATCGCGCGATTGCAGAAGCCCATGAAGCAGCTTCAAACCGTCGAGCTGGCCGAAAAATACTTCATTCTGCTCCAAGACGCTGAACGGTTGCGGAGAGAAGCTCGGTCTCATCTTCCGGGTAGCCCCAAGGAGGCTCTCGAACCATATGCGCAGCTGAAGGAGCTTGTCATTAGACTCAGGTCCCTGCCTGGGAATGACGAACTTCACTTGGTGGATCATATCGATAAGATGGCGGAGCATCTTTGGAATGAAATGAAGCAAATCATGTCTGCTGAGCTAGAGACTGTGCTTAATAAGAAGCATTGGCCCAAGGTTGATCCTCAGTCCGAGATGGATGAGGAGTGGGTTGCCTGTATCGAGAAGCTCCTCGACCTCCAGATGCCAGAGGTGATTCACAGCACAGGCGTTGTGACCCTCTTACCGTTTGAAGTCATGGCCAGAATGTTCGTCGCCGAGTTTCGCTTCCACTTTATCAGCGATAAGCCGACCAGCAGCCCTCAATCTGTTGGGACTCACTGCTTCCCCTGGGTTCTGGCGACCCTGGAAAAATGGGAGGACTTCTTTCGCGACAATCTCGGCCATCTCCTGGCATCCAAATTCCACGAGACGCCAGTGGCTAACAAGACGATATACGCGGATCCCGCATGCGCTCTTATTACGGCGATGCTACCAGTCATTCGGGAGAAAGTCAATGCGGTAGTATCAGAGACGAGCGCGAATCCTGGGTTCTTAAGCAATTTCATCTCACAGATCATGACCCTTGACGAGACCGTTCGAACACGATTCAACTATGACGGTGGCGATTCTGAGAACGGATGGGCAGGGCTGTCTGAGAGCGTTCTGGATAATTACTTTGATGCGTGGTATCAGGCCGAGAGGAGCTTTGCGCTGGAGAGATTCGAGGTGATTATGGAGTCTCGAGATGGGCGCAAAATCGACTACGACTACTCAGTGTCCGGCAAGATGAAGCCCACCTATGCCTCCGTGCAAATCACCGATCTATTACGAGTAGTGACGACAAAATACGAACGTCTCCGCAAAGTCAAGCAAAAGCTCAGGTTCCTGACAGACATTCAACTAGATATTCTCGATGGATATCACGACCGTCTTAGAAGCTCGCTCGAGGCTTACCAATCTCTAACCTCTACATTGGGCCGAACCATCCATGGCGTAACAAAAGAACAACTGGCTGCCTTGGAGGGGACAGGGGCTCTGGAGACGCTGTGCAAAGTGATTGGCAGTGCCGACCACATTGCCAACACATTGATAGAATGGGGAGATGAAGAAGTAAGCTACACACACACATTTATTGAAGGAAGAAGGAAATGCTAATGAAACAACTTATAGTTCTTTGTCATACTATGGGATCAGCTGCATAGGCGCGAATCCAGACAGTTGAGGCCTCAAGGCTCAACCATTGCCAGCATGGTCGGACACAGCGATGATATTAAGGAGCGCACTGTTGCCGCGGTGGATGGAGGCGATGAGAATGGAGCCATCTTTGATGAGACTATTGCGGCATACACCAACCGTCGCAAGGCAGGTGAAGAGCTACTCGTTGGCGCTTTGGTCGAGTCTCACTCCAAAGCGCTGCGTGCCTACACTCACAACGTTCAGTGGACCACGGTTGGCGAAAGCGCAACTCCAGGTAAGCTCCATCCCCTAAACCATGCGGTAGACCTTGCTGATTGGAACATGAAAGATGACTCTTCAGCACTCTCGATCACGCCGGAGCTAGACGAGCCGTTGAGCGTCCTCAAGAGGAATATGGAATTCTTGAGCAAAGCTCTGTCGGCCGCCTCCTTCCGCCGTGTCTGGCGAGATGCGCTTGACAGGCTCCAGGACTTGCTGTGGTCCAGCATTCTCACCCGTCAGACGTTTACCGCTTTTGGGGCTGCGCAGCTCGCGCACGATTGCGCAGCCATCTTTTCGCTCGTAGATCGCTTCATTCCTAATGGCTCGGCGGCACTGGAATCTCTTCGTGAGGGGCTCGTCCTGCTCAACTTGCCAGCAGCGGCGGAAGGCGAAGGTGTTTCGGGTGCTGCTATGACGCTCAAACAGGCCAGTGACCGAGCCTTTACGAACAATGATGAGGCACGCAAGGTTCTTGAAGAACTGGAGCTGGTGGCGCTGACGCCGCCGAATGCAAGACAGATTCTTCAGAGGCGAGTGGAAAATGATGAGAATGTTGGGTGGTGATACGATGGAACTCCGGTTTTGCATAGATCTGAAATGAAAAAAAAAAGATGGACGCTGTTCATCAGCATCATGATGCATCAAAGGCAGCACATCATATGATAAGATATTATCCAACTGATTAATTCCATGTTGAATGCCCAATTCTTCAGCCAACCAAGCGCAATACGGGATGTCTAATGTGTTAAGCTATCGAAAAACTCCGTCTCTATCAGGTATGTTTTGCCTTGACTTTTTGTCGGCTCACGCTCATCAAAAACCAATGACGTTTTTTACATCTCTTTTCCTTGACCCATAAACGCCCCCCTTCCACCATCCAAAAGAAAGAAAGAAAGAAAGACTCGTCCGCTCATCTTGTCGACTTCGAACCTCCCCCTTGTTTTCGCATCTCCTTAGTTGATAGCCCGCATAGTCATTTCAACCACGGCAAAGGTGCCCGCGCTCACAGGCATAGCTCTGAGAAGCGTAGGTCCAATGCCCTTCCAGAAGCCCCTGACACCATCAGCGCGCCATGTGGCGGAGAAGCACGAGCGCATGGTCGGGTACTTTTGCTGGGCGCCGAAGCCATCCGTCTGCATCTTGCTCTTGATGACGTCGAAGGGGTAGCTGACCAGCCAGAGGGCCTCGCCGGCGAGACCTCCGTACAGGGCGATCTTGTAGCTGGGGATCTGCTTGCGGTCGATGCCGTTGCGGGCGGCGTCGGCGTTCATGAGGTACTCGAAGGCGGTGAACCAGGCGCCGTAGGCAAAGGACTCTCGCCAGACGGTCACGACCTCGCCCCTGTAGAGGCCGCTCAGGGCGCCGTTGTGGGAGCTGACCTTGCGGATACAGTCCAGTGGCCCGTTGTACAGGCGTCCCTCGCCGTGGGGCTGGCTCTGCAGGCGGATACGGATGTGTTCGATGGGGCCGGACAGAGGCGCGTTGGCTACGCCGGCAAAGGCTCCGGCCAAGAAGTACTGGCCGTAGCCGAGCTCGGAGGCCCTGCCCTGGGCGGAGTTGCGAGCCTCGAGCCACCGACGGGCAGCGTGGAACGCGCCGAACTGCACCGACACACAGGCGCCGATGCCGATGAGGGGCGTCAGCGTGCCCTTGTAGAAGGCCAGGGCGCCCTCATTCTTGTAGATGGAGGCGGCGGCCTCGAGAGCGCCGGCGTACTGGTTCGACGTCTGCAGGCGGACTTTGACGATGTCGAAGGGTTGGCCTGGGAGGAGGAGGAGAAGGTCAGCGCGTGGGTTTGTAATGAGCCGCGAGAAAGCGCTTCGGACCGTCGCCAGACGTGCGACTTGAGTCCCGCCATTGAACCACAGGGGGGAAGATGGAGATAATGGGAGGAAAGACGGAGGAGAGGCCATACCTATCAGGACTTGGGCAATACCGCCAACAGCGCCGGAGAAGAGATCCTTTGCTGTCTGCAGCGCACCGCCTTGGTGCTGTTCAATCTCGGCGGCAGCCATCGAAAATCTGGTGGCCCCGCGGCCGGAACCGATAACGGAATTGAGGTTCGACGAGAGAGTGTAGACCGAAATTGAAGGGGGATATGAACGAAAGAAGAACAAAAACTCAAGACAGAATATCACAGCTGGGGGAAAGAAAAGGAAAAAAGGAAAAGGAGAGAGAAAAAAGAAGCTGACCGAATGATGGGCTTGTTCGAGAGGGACCGCCGATGACCCGTCCGATATCGACAATGTCGTGATTTGATAAGTCGAGATAGCGGCTGTATGAAAAGGGTTAGGAGGCACGGATATAAGGATTCGAATGTTTTTGTTTGGTGCATTCCCCGCGAATTGGGTAATATTTTGTTTGCTCCCGGATGGGGGAATTACCCTGGAAATGCGAGATCGGTGCATGATGCGATAGTTGGAGTAAGTTTATACGGTGATATATATCATCAAAAATGAGGGAATGGCTAATTGGAATTTCAATTGTTAGACGGCGTATCCTACCGTTTATTACAGCATCTTTATAAAGGCCAACTGAGCCTCTTGCTCATCTCACATCGCTCATAGATGTTGTATATCAATAGGCCAGATCCAATCTCAACCACGAACATCACCGCTTGCTTCATCTCACAACCTCGTCAAAGACCCCATCCTGGAGCCGCACGCTGAGCAGGTGCAGCGGCAGCTCGATTCATCCCACCGTTTCGACTGACCAGCATCTCTTCACTCCACAGCTCACACCCACAAGTCTTCCAAGGCTTCCCGCAGGTGTAGCAGAATTCAGCCCTGCAACGACAGTCTACGAGTCACAATGTCTCAGCAGCAGGTTCAAAATCAAGATCGATAAAAGAAAAAGAAAGAAGAATGTCATCTCACATATATGATTGCACCCGAGCGCAAGTTCCACAACGCGGCGGCACTTGAAGCATCGTTTCCAGCCTTTATCTCCCGCCACGCGAAGCAAATCAGCCGTTGCCGTATCTTTGGGACAATCTCCCGTATGCGACGCGCCTTTGCAGATGACGCACGTCTTTCTCCCGCATTTAACACATGTGCCGACTTCGTCTTTGATGAATTGCTTGGGAATAAACGTCGAGCAAGTCGGGTAGTAGCAATACTCCCTCTTCTCCGAATTGTACTCGAGCTCCTTGGCGCGATACTTGCCGAGGATGTCTGGCGATAGGAAAATCTGGTTGACGCCGGTGAGAGGGATGGGCTTGCCGCAACACTGAGGCGGGAAAATGGACTCGTCGTCGATTGCCTTTTTGACGTAGTTTGACAGGCATCCTCGGCAGTAGTCGTGAGAGCAAGGGCATCGCAGCGTCTCCACGAAGGGGAACTCGTCGGTGCAGACAAGGCAGCGACGCCGTTTGCTGGCCTTGGCTACTGCTTGCTCCTGTCTTCCCTTTCTTGATGACTCGGCAATGGGAGGGGACTCGTGGCCGCCATTGAACAAGACGATGAGCTTGCTGGTCATCTCATCGGACATGGTCCCCGACGACTCCCCATGTTGAGGGAAATCATCTTGAGGGAATCCACCGCCATTGAAGTTGTCCGAACCGAAACCATTGAGCACGAGCTCCCTGTCGCGTCTGGCCTGGTCCTCTTGGTTGACAAGCTCCCTGATGATGTCGGCATCACTGACGACGGCGCGGGCCACGCTACGAGTCATTGCTTGGTCGTGAAGCAAGGTGTGAAGCGACCGGAGCTCTGCGTTGAAGCATTCGAGCGCGAACTCAAAGTCCGGAGCCTCGCCCTCGCGATACTTGCCCTTGATCATGCTCTGGGCATCTTGCAACTGAAGCTCGATGATGAGATCGAGGCTTTCCTGGTCCATTTCGTAATCCATGATTTATGAAATGAACTTTAAGAAATAAATAATGAATGAATGAATGAATTATGACCGTCGTCTAGAGACCAGCCTGGTTTACTATTGGGACATTTGCCAAACTTGGAAGAGAAAAACAAGGCAAAAATGCACATGTACTACAAGTAGGTCAGTCTGTATCCCTTCTGCCCGAGTATGTAATCCGTACCTGGAATGTCATTTGCGCGAGACATAATCTTGCTTGCCACTCGTCCCCTCACTTATCACTTCCTGCGGGAGGCCGACAAAAGAGTCACCTCCGGGATAAGATACTCCGCATGTACAAACGAGTACTTGATGCTTGTGGTTGTTTCAAGCAAAGTGCGGGGATACAAGCAGGACATACTGTACCCTGCATGTCTACAGAGTATATCAATATGACAAAACTTTTATGCACGAATTCATAAATCAAGCGATGAAACCTGAGCTCCATCTTGACAATTCATGGCATCTTCATACCAGATTCCGGATGATGAATCTCCTTTATACTCCGTAGAAGTACCTGAGCTGTGCTTATGTCCGCTCGTCCGCAGTGGGGTCGGCGCCAGCTCCGGAATCTCTGCCGTGTTTATGAGACCGTTTGTTTCATCTCCAAAAGAACTGTGAGCAACTCAGATAAAAGCGGCTCCCGCTGACATGATATCCATCAACAACGGCCTCTTACTACGTTCTGATATGATGCTGTTATTTGCGTCATAAGATCAAGTCTAATGTCGGGGACGGATCTTTGTTTGCTTTGTTCCGATATGGTTACGGAGAAGAATTAGTACATCACAGCATTGCTCATAAGCAGCAACTGCTCGGGAGATCTTTGGCCTATCATGTGAAGCTTATGTACATGCAACTAGACAAGTTAATCCGTATATAAGCTTGATTTGGACACGAAAGTAAAAGGACCAAACAAGATCAAAACGACAAACTCGAAAGAATTGACACGGGATCGCACCTTTTACCATTATGATTCCCGGGTAGGCGCCAAATCTGCAAGGCACAATAGCCTATGTGGGCGAGAGCGAGCACGGCATGCGGCCTAGCCATGGCGCAAGCTCGAGTTACGCTCGGATGATCGCCATATCTTGGGAAACACTACTCAACCTAGGTATATGAATTGGCGTTTTCCGTGGCTTTACCGATGACCATTTATAATGAAGACGGAAGCAATATGCGGAAAGAGCTGGCTTCCTGTCTTTGTAGATGCGCTCGTTTGTGCTCGATCGAGATAGAGCGCAAGCTGGATACATTGACTGCTCAAAACACCACGAGTTAGGTCAATTGAATCATAAAAATGGCTCTTAGGTTGAGCTGTTTGCTCCTTGCGTCGTCATGGTTGTTTTCGGCAATTCTTCTCACAGAAGCGGCTCCAAGTCGTCCAAACATCGTCTTCATCTTGACAGACGATCAGGATAACCATATGGGATCCCTGCAACATATGCCGTCACTGCAGAAGCATCTCGTCCACCAAGGCACTACGTTTGAGAGACATTATTGCTCTAGTATGTTTCGCCCGAGTTCCGCGTACAAGGCGAATATCCCGTTCATGGCTGACCCGAGTTCTCTTTCTTAGCTGCTATATGCTGTCCTTCGCGCGTCAGCCTTTGGACTGGACAACTTGCTCACAATACCAATGTAACAAACGTGAATCCTCCATGGGGTGAGTGGTTTTCGATAGCAATCATTAACTAGGATTTCAAGTCTGATTTAAAAGCAGGAGGATATCCCAAGTTTGTCCAAAATGGCTACAACGACCACCATCTAGCCCTCTGGCTGCAGCAGTCCGGCTACAACACTTACTACGTGGGCAAACTCTTCAATGCTCACACCATTTACAACTACGACTCGCCTCACGTTAGCGGATATACACAGTCAAACTTCTTTCTCGACCCCTTCACGTATCAGTACTACAACGTCAGCACCACCAAGAACGGGGCACCGCCGACCAACCCTGTTGGCAAATACTCTACTGACATCGTAGCCGAGAGCGCCAACGAATTCCTCGACCATGCTCTGCAGGACGACTCTCCTTTCTTCATCACTCTCGCCCCAATTGCCCCTCATGCACTGGTGGGCGAAGGTTCTTTGGGGGGCTTTGATCCCCCGCAAGTTGCGCAACGGCACGAAGGCCTCTTTCCCGAGTACAAGATTCCCCGGACGCCAAACTTCAATCCTGATTCTCCAAGTGGTGTGAGCTGGGTATCGAAACTTCCCAAGTTGAACGATACCATCCTTGATTATAACGACGAGTATCAGAGGCGGCGTCTCAGATCTCTTCAGGCCGTGGACGAGATTGTTGACTCCGTTGTTGATCGCCTTGAGCAAGCCGGCGTGTTGGGAGATACCTTTATATTTTACACCTCCGACAATGGCTACCACATTGGCCAGCATCGATTGCATCCCGGCAAAACATGTGGGTTCGAGACCGATATCAATGTCCCTCTAGTCGTCCGCGGTCCTGGAATCCCTGCGCAGAGAGTGACACAAGTTTCCTCCTCCCACACAGATCTCGCTCCAACAATCTTGCAAATAGCGGGCATCGAAATTGGCGATAAGAAATTCGATGGGACGCCCATTGACATCTATGGCAAAGAGACTGAATCTCGGTCGGAGCATGTTGCCGTCGAGTTTTGGGGATTTGGACTTGCAGAGAGCGTCTTTGGCAGGGAGAATGGCTCGCCCATTTATCTCAACAATACTTACAAGGGGCTTCGTATTGAGGCAGAGGATTATGGATTCTACTACTCCGTCTGGTGTCACAATGAAAAGGAGCTCTATGACATGAAGGTATGGCTAACCGACAAGTTTTGGCGATTTCAAAAAAAAAAAAAAAAGAGAGACTTGCTGACACTCAGTGACCATAGGCTGACCCAGGTCAACTACACAATCTCCTCTCCTCAAAAGAGAGTCGCATTGACGCTACTATTACCATTGCTGATAAACAATGGCCCCTTGGAAAGATCGCTGACCGACTGGACGCCCTGATGATGGTTCTCAAATCCTGCAAGCAGCAATCTTGCGCACATCCCTGGAAGAGTCTGCATCCCACAGGCGACGTCCGAAACTTTCACGATGCACTCTCCACAGAGTATGATGATTTCTACAGTGAGCAAGTGAAAGTGAGCTTCACCAATTGCGAAGCTGGATACATCATTGAGTCGGAAGGACCCCAAGGCTTCCATACTTTTGAAGCTGGAGAGGGTTACGCTGATGGTGGTTTCTATGAGACGCCGGAGCAACGAGCTTTGGTCAATCCCAACTGGAGTCTCTGGGAATAGAGTGTATAAAATGAGTAACACAAAGAGTGCTGGTTGCATACATCCATACACATATACATCTGTAAGATGGTAAAATCTCTAGTGACAACTATCAAGCCCTTAAAATGTACACTCGTCTTATCGACACATTACCAGAACAAAACTAGACCGTCATCTTTCATCAAACATCCCCAAGCTCAAGGATTCACATAGTCTCCCGGAATCTTGTCTCGCCCCTCCACCTTCACCGTCTTCAACTTGTTCACATCCACTCCGTGCAACGCCCGCGCATTCACCCCCGTCCTCGTGTGCTGATTATCGTACAGCCGGCGCATCTTCTCCGGAAGCGCAGCGATTTCCTCCTCGGACAGTTCATCGTTGAACTGGTTCGTCAAGATGACACCGCATATCTTGCAGAAAACCTTGTCCATCATGCCCGTGTTGAATCGGTACCTTCCGATGTCGGCCTCGTCGCCGGATAAGATGACGAATTCGTTTTCGCTATATACCCAGAGAGCGGCATTCTAACATTCCTCCGTTAGAATAGCTGAACTTGGAAATGGACTGAAATAACGGTACTTACGCGCTCGCAGCTGCTGCAGTTGCATTGGATAGCTCTTTCAAAGGTCTCATCCAGACGCTTGGCCGTTGTGGCTACCGTGACTGCACCACAGTGGCAGCTGCCTGTATACACAACGTCTTCGCCTTCAGGCTTGGGAAGCTCTCCTTTGTGAACTGGAGGCTGGTATGTTTCTCCCAAGGAGGCACCATCGTATCTGCCAGATGCCATTAGCTTGCTCTCGGGCGAATTGGAGGTGGCAAGATGACTTACGGATGTCTCTCTAGAACCCAGGTATCCAAACCTTGAAAAGTATGAGCCTATAAAGTCTCGTTACTATTTCGTGTACTCCATGCTACGCGACTTATATGTGACTTACATTAAGAGCAAGTTGAAAGTCTTTCTCCTCGTCCTCTGACGATCCAGCGATTGCCGTAGCGCATGTCGGGCAAAACTGTAATCACAAAATAAGTCAAAAAAGTGCGATTCTTCAGGTCTCAGTCCCTTCTCATACCAGATGTTTCAGCTTCTTAGGACCAAACTCGTACGTCGTCAGGTCCTCTAAGCCGCCCTTGATAATCTTCACATTGTCTTGACCAGGAAAGATCCAGAGATAGCCCTTTTTGTTACAAATGTTGCAATTGCACTCAATTGCACTCTTGATCTCGGGCAACCTTGTCTCAAACACAAACTTGCCGCAGTGGCAGTTTCCTCGGTATGTGATGGTCTGGGCTTCGGCCATGTTGTCTCTACAGCTTTAAACCCGTAACAGTTTGCAATTCTGGTGAATCGAGCAACAAAAGGAGAATTGATGAATAAAAAGGATTGTCATGAGTTGACAAAGCGAAAGAGGAAAGCCTCTAATTCTCGGTCTTTAAACACAGACCGGGTTCCGAGCCCCGGCTTGTTCTTATCTGTCGCATCTCAACTTTCGGGCTGTCGCTTCGACATGCCAAACAAACACAACTGTTCACTTTTACTAGGCTTTCAAGGCTTACGATTCACGGCATGAAGCAAATACCACATCACGCTAATACCCCGCCTCGCATTCGTCGCTCCTCGTTTATTTGTCGGGGTTTCGGGCTACTGCTAATTGTGGAATAGAGTGGCATTGCGGGTGTATACGACGCCTGTTATTAATAGTGTATGACATGAGGCGCTTTGTAAAAGATCAAGTCTATACAAATGAAGTTGTCGGGGTGGAATAGGCATCATTCATTACGTCTTGCCTCGCCGTAGAGGATTGGAATGGAGACTTGACGCGTGGTTGCTGAGGCCTGACCGATTGGTGGGATCGGCCGCAAGCCCTTGTCCGGAGATTGAAAGAGCCATCATAAGCATCGTCATCGTCTGGAGCAACTTCAAAGCATCTTACAATCAGTAAAAAATGGCACATCTCCACTCGAGTCATTGTGAATGGAAATCATTATCATCATTAGAATAAATTGTGTCCCTCTGACATCCAAGGGTTTCCTTTACGCTGCTCGTCTAATATCTCCGAGTTCCGTTGTCGGGGCTCTTTGCCTCGTTTTGTGCCTGCGCGTTGAGCTGGATGGCTTCTTTCAGCCTCGCAATCACTTCAGGCTGATTGCTGAAAGCCGTGTCAAGCATGGTTTCAAGCTCGGCTTCTACCTTTGCGATGGGTTTCACTCCGGCTTTTCTGCTTTGAGAGTCGTTGAAAAGAGACCCCCAGCGCTTCGTAAATGCGTAAATGGACTGGCGTAGAAGCTCATCCAACTGCTCACTCATATCCTCGACAGTAAGCGTCTTTGCGGTGACTGATGGCGCCCCTCGAGACCAAAGATTGCCGCTGATGATGCTCCCGAAAAATCCCACCCAATTTTGGGGACTCAGCGTGTCCCAAATCTGGCCAAAATGCTGCATTGCGGGCTGGCTCCGTATATCCCCAATCTCGAGTGATACCAACTCATTCTTAATGATGAGTAAGTTTTTAACCATGAAGAGATCCGGGTCAGTGTCCGTTTTAAGCGACTTGATTCTTGCTTCAGCTCGCTGAAGTATCTGAATGGTCTCCCGCACAATCTTGAACACCACGGGACTGTTTTTAGCCTGCGTGAGATGGTGTTAGTTCCGAGTAAACACACACTTGGCTTTGTCAAGTGACTTACAGATCGCTCCTTGGGCATTGCTTGGTCAAACATGGCTAGAAGCTCAATCGCTCGCTTAACCAAGGGATATGCGTTTGAAGATGCCACTCCACCCACTACGGGACTGATTTTCAAGTGACTGTCTTGAGCTGCGGCCTTGCTGAGGGACTTGGTAATCTCTGCTTCAAATAAATTGTCTGTGAATGGCCACAAGTGGTCTGCAAGCAGTCGGGCGGCATATTCCCTGTACTTCCTGAAAGATGGAGACTCGTCCTCATCAACATCCACCACGCCATATTCGTTTGCCAGCCAGCCAACCACATTACACGTTTCTTGAAGTTGAGCGGTTTGGAGTACGGCTTGCAAGTTGGTAGCCAACGGCACAATATTGCCCGGGTGAACCATCGAGGTGTTGACTAGCTTGACGGCCTGGAAAGCTGACTCTGGAGAGGGGCTCCACACGAGTTCTATGTTGAAGATTTTGGTAAAAAGTCCATCCTCGCTATATATTCGTTCGAAGAGCTGCTTGATAAAGTTTCTAGAAGCTGTCTCTATCGATAGACTCTTGACTTCTTTCTGGAATTCGTCTATATCATGTTGCGTCATCAACTTCATGTCCCTATCACGGGTAGTGAGATATGTTCGGAAGATGGTGGTAATGGCATTGACATATGTTGCAGTTGTAGTTGTGGCTTCTACTGGCTGGCCGTATGCGTGGTAAGCCGATCGGACTGCTTTTCGAATGTTTGGTAGGAGAGAGTACGATTCGGCCATCATCTCCTCGAATCTGCCATAAGCGAGTGCATAGCGAGCAGACTCTGATTTCGTGGCGGCAATCTGGCGCGCAATGTCGCCGGATACTTTGTCCAAGCAGCTATTGAAGCCATGGTCAAGAAGATGTAATGCCTTGGTAAGTAGGGCGCTATATCGTGCCAAATACGAATCGCGTTCGCGGTAATTTTCCTGCAGCATGTCAATATAAAAAACTTTAAGTCTCAAAGCCTTCATCTTCTTACATGAGCGGTCATAAACTTGATGCACGAATCAATGTTTTCCACCATTTCGCCAAAGTCGTCGTCTTCGACCAATTGACTGGCGCCAGGAGCGTTCAGCCGTCTTGTAGCCTTCTCCAGGTATGCGTAGTAGTAAAGGTCTGTGCCAACCTCATCTGCAAGCTTCTCTAGTCGTCGCTGCTCCGCCAAGAGCTCTTCGCATTGAGCTTGGAAAGTCGAAGTCTGGGCCTCAACAGAAAGGAAAGACTGCGATAGCGTTGTGAGCAGCTTGAGTGTATCGTTGGCATTGTCGATCAATCCTTCCAGGTGGCGTTCGGTCATTTTCAATTGATCGCGGTATAGCCTGGTTGTTGATTAGCTGAGCTCTAATTGCGCATGTGTCCAGAGTCATACAGATACTCGCGCTGGCTCTCCTCCAGGAGCCGATTGTCTAGCGATTCTGAGGACGCGGCCTCCTTCTGAGGGTATGGAGAAGCTTCAGAGCCCTCATGGAAAAGCGTCAAGGCCTCCCAATTCCTGCTCCTCCTGTCGACTTTCCGCCGCGGCTTGCGCTGAGAGTCTTTGAGAAGCTCCGCCTTGACAACATCGTAAAAGTCGGAGTATGAGGCAGCTCGACGAGGCAATGTGGGTTCGGGAGGGTCGTTTGTGTTCTCTAACTCTTCCAGAACATCCTCCAGCGTCTCGGCGATATTGTTGGGCTCCTAGACAGAGTAAGTCGTCTGTAACATGCCAACTGAAGGATGGCCGACACCAACATTTGGCTGCTGTAGGAGCGATTCCTTGCGCTGGTGCCCACGAGGCCGGCCGCTAGACGTCTCGGCTCTGCCATTGTTACCGTTTCCAAGCTCCGGCACGAAGCTGTACCAGCCGTCCTCGTACATGGCGGCTCGGAGCTGGAAGCAAGGCTCGAGATGGGAGAATGCGCCGATTGCTGCGTGGTCACTATTTGGGATCTGCTGCACCACCCCACGGTACTTGTTTGCAACATGCAGGGTCCATAGAAAAGTAAAGTACTGTTGCGAACTAGCTGATGACTAAGCAGTTGCTCTACTTGTGTCGCACAGCGATTCAATTCAGACATGATCATTGTTCTGCATTTCGTAATCCAGCAGGTTCTCTTTTGCCAATTTTTTAACTTTGCATGAAGATCTGATGGGATTTTGCTACTTTTGTTTCTTGTTGAGGGCCGGTATAACTGTAAATCAGCAACTGGACATTGGATTCATCTCACTTTCCTTCAAATCATTGATCAGATGTCTCTGTATGAGTCCTTTGAATCATGCAGTAATTCGGAGAAAAACAAAAAACAAAATAAGAAAAAACATAATCTAGGTAATACACAAAATGTCTACTTTGTGCACTGTCACGCATCTGTTTAGGTGTTTGGATGATCAAGATCATTGGTCAGGATACATGTGTACATCGCAGTGCTCGAATCCGATGTAAGTGGCACCGCTGCGCATCAGCTTTTGACCCGTAAATCTACCCCAGTTGATCGTCAAATAAGCTTCCCTCTCTCCTACTTTCGTTCAGACCTCTAGCATCAAAGATGGTTATTAGCCTGGTGTTTTCTTAGTCTTAAAATTGTCTTGTGTAAGCTACTTCAACATCTTTTGCACTTGGAGACTTTGCTGGTACGTATCTGTATATTATGAGAGTTGGCCGCATCGTGCTAATAGGGATAAAACCCTTCTTTAGCTTTTTTCCCTCTCCATTCCTTTCTCAGCTTGCTGGGGAGGTAAAGATGAAAGCCCCCTTTCTATCCTTGTTTGGGTGCTAATTTCCATAGCTGACAGCCTATTCACACTATGGAGTACTGAATTGGATCGAGTACCGCAATGATATCGTGCATGGAGAAAATCTCATAACTGCTACTCCCTACTCGCCGTATCTTCATTATACACAAGCTTGTTTCTCGATTTGCGTCTTGGATAGTTGACGCAACCAAGCTTGCAATGGCAAGAATGGGAATTGGTTGATGAGTACTAAGGTAGCAAATAGCGTCAATGCTTATTGGATTGGCAGCTCGCAGCTCGGACCAGCCAATTAGCGGTATGACATCATCGGGTTGCCGAAAGCTTCAGTACAGGGATGTATGCACTTAAAGCCTTTTTACTAACTTTTGCATACAAGGATAGTGAGTGCATGATCTCATGGCATCTGCGACCTCACAATCGGTCGCTGCACTCATACGCTGATCAATCCAGTCCACAGCGGGGCTATCAGGTGAACTCCGGCATAGGTCATTGAGCATCTGAGCGTCAGCAGCTGGATCAGAGTGGTAAGGCAGCTATGAATGTCTCTCAGTCCGCCCTTCGGCGAGCGTCCCGTCTTCGCCTCTCGGCTCGACCACATCTCGCTACGAATCAGCGCCAATGGGCTCGATACGCCAGTGACTCGGCTGAGGGGAGGCCCAAGCGGCGAGGAGGGAAAGCCGTGGGATTTGCGGCGGTTTTCGCCGTGGCGGCAGCTGGAGCATACTACTATCCTAAGCTCCAAGCTCGACTGAGCTCGGCTCCTGAAGCAGCCCAGCCGGGGTATCAGAAGGCTGACTTGGAATTCGAAAAGACCCGCAAGCACGCTGCCTCAAAGGAAGAGAACCGCGAGCTGATTAGCTCCCAGCACATGCAGGTGAAGAAAAGCTGGGAGCATCCCGGAGTGTATGCTTGGGGCTCGAATACGGGAAAAGTCATTGACCCTAGTTCGAATGAGAAGAACATCAAGCTTCCGCGTAGAATATCCCATTTCGACAACCAGCTTCTCCGTGACTTGAAGCTCACTCAGGATTTTGGCGCAGCCATCACGGAGAAGGGCGACCTCGTGCAATGGGGCTTGGGATTTTCCAAGGCAGATCCAACGCCGGTGACGACTTTGAAGGGCAAGGATCTTGCCAAGATTGAAGTATCAGAGGACCGGATTATTGCTTTATCTCGCGGCGGCTCGGTATATGCCATACCGGCCTCCCGTGATGACCAAGAGGGCGGCAAGAAGCTGGAGCAGGACAAGAGCTCTTGGTCACTCTGGTCTTCGTCTGGCAACGAGGCCATCAGCTTCCAAAGCTTGACCCCAACAGGGCTCGGATGGGGTGAGCGCGTTGTCGATATCAGCAGCGGACTAGAGCATTGCTTGCTGCAAACTTCAGCGGGACGAGTTTTCTCCTGTGCCTCGAGCGCCTCATCATTTCCAACAAAGGGACAAATGGGCATTCCGGGCCTCACCTGGGAGACACGCCCCAAGGGGCGCTATGATCAACCACATGAAATCACTTCGCTCAAGGGGTTTGATGTCAAACGCGTCGCAACGGGAGACTATCACTCGGTTGTTCTAGATAAACTCGGACGCATCTTTACGTGGGGCGATAACACTTTTGGTCAACTTGGCTTCGAGGCCCAACTGGGAAGCGCTTTTGTCTCTACACCTACCATCTTACAAACTCACAAGCTGTACGGAAGCAGTGGGCTGGTACCCAAGGTTTCGTCAATCGCTGCCGGTGGTTTGAACACCTTCTTCGCCTGTGAAGCTGATGTGCCTGATACCAGCAACACCGAGGCCGGTGACACAGCACCTTCCAGGAGGTTACCCCATAGCACGTTTGACATTTGGGCGGCAGGGCAAGGCACCACTGGCTCGCTTGGTACTGGCAAGTGGACTCATGTTTCTCTCGGGCCTACCAAGCTGAAGGCGCTTTCGGGACTCTGCGAGTTTGATGAGAGAAGCAGCCAACTAATGCCTATCAAAATCAAGTCTCTGAGCATTGGCGCAACTCACGGCGCCGCAATCATGGACAATGTGACACAAACCTCCATGTCGAGCCGGTCCTCTGAGAATGAGACTTACTGGGGATCTGACGTGGTTTTCTGGGGAGGCAACGAACACTACCAGTTGGGAACAGGCAAGCGGAATAACTTGAACACACCCACGTACATTTCACCATTGGATGGAGACGCGGGACGGCACAGATTATGTCTGACACCTCGACAAACCGCCCGGCTAGGAGAAGGCGGCAAGGGCCGCAAAGTGACGCTGGAACAAAAAGTCGAATGCGGCAGATTTGTCACAGGGGTCTACTCTGCCGTTTGACGGAAGCAAGGGAAAGGGGGGAGGCGAAAAGCCATGTATAAGTATGGAGTGATGGAGAGGGTAATAATAGGTTGGGGCTCAGCTGATGCAGGATGTTGGGTGCGCATGTCCGCCTGTTGCTGAGCAGACACATACGGGATTTGTATTCCATTGGCTTATGAGTTGTTGGGTGTCACATGTCTCACATGGTGCGTTGGTGTTGAAACCAAGATGGCGGATGGGAGGAACTATCAATGCCTGAAAGATGAGAGAAAAAAAGAGGAAAAAGGAAAGGGACAAAAAAAGGGAAAGCAAAAGCAAAAGCAAGAGAGAAAAAAGGTGAGGCAAGGGAGTCGAAAGGGAATGGGGAAAAAAACATTGTGGACTGCGTCTGAGATGCATGTACTGTAAGATACGATATTCTTAGGATGGATCGATCTCTCCATTATGATTTGCCCCCGTTTTGGCAACGCTGAGTGACACACACACACAGACGCAGATGCAAAACACGCCGAGCAGAGCACAGTCACAAGAATGGCGGCGACACGAGCTTCAGCTGACGCGAACAAGCCTCTGTCCCGGGGGTTGGATGACGCGCTCAGGAGGATGGAAGCGAATCAAATGACCATGTTTTGAACCAAAATAACTGGCAGCGTCTGAGTGGTGGATGCGACATGCAGGTACTGGGTGCACTTACACAAGTCGCGTGCTGGGGAACCGACGCGATTGCGCTGCGGAACTCCACTGAAGAAGTTGACAAGCGCTAATCCCGGCCTAGTGTGTGCTGTCTGTCTGTATGCACGGGGGGGAGTTGCTGCAGCATGTATGTGCCAGGTATTGCATGCATGCATGCAATCAATATCCCAAGCCTGTTTCTTGGCTGGGTCAGATGTTTCCTGGAACCTCGACAGCAGATGAGATGCATCATTCTCTACATTGGCCATCCTTATTACTACTACTAACCTACCAACTGCCAGGGATACAAACGCAGTACTAATACCTACTCGTACATGCATGTACCCGGTGCTAGCATGTATTACGATCCATCTACCAAGGTATAAACAAGGTACCTCGTAGTAAGCAAGCAATCCCATCTTTCGCTAAAGCATCGGGCAATCTTACAGCCCTCAGATTGCATGCATCAAATCCAATCTTGGCTTCATTACTGTAGCAGGTACCGGTACCACTTCCGTCAGCGCCGCCGCCGCCGTGAGCTGCGAACCTCTACTCCAGATCCCCTCGCACTTTCCCGCGATTGCATATTCCTCTTCTTGCCATCGCCTCCTCTTCCAGACTCATCATATCCTTTCTTCTCCCGCTTTCTTCTTTCTTCTTCTTCTTCTTCTCTCTTCACTTTCACGCGCTCCTTGACAGAATTTTTTTTACTTCTTCACTTCTTTGCACTCAGATACATCCATACCCGGATATCACTTATTATTTTGCCCGGTCGCCGCTCTCGCCAACCAAACCCGCCAACGATCGAAATCCGAAATCCAAATCCACGGGCGACAGCGACAGCGACAGCAACGGCTAACCCGGCACGCCTCGTTGTCTCCTTGGCCAACGCCGTGAAAAAGGCAGCCGTCAGGGCTTCCAAAATCTCTTCCCTGGCTGTCATGGATAAGATCCCCAAGTTTCGCCGGAAACCCAAACCTCCCGTCATCGAGACGGCCCTCGATCGCAATGCCGCCGTCGCCTCGGAAAACATGAGCGTCAACGACTCGGTGCAGCGGACGCACCACAAAATGTCACCGTTCAAGAGCTTGCGGCTGCGAGGCCCGTCGAAGCGCGCTAGAGACAGTCCTCCTTCAGACCTCACTCCAACCACGCCGTCAGCCGTCGTGGTGGCCCAGGATGGCATCCAGTCGCCGCCCAGGCCTGCGCGACCAGCCTCTCAGCCAGCGCAACACAAATCGCCGCCTGTGCAAGATCGCCGCAGGAGCGTCAACCAGCCACCTCCAGTTTTGCCAGCCTTCTTGACGCTGTCGCAGCAAGGTGCGTCATATCTCTCACCAAGATAAGATGTATATGCAAGCCGGATGCATATGCACGTCATATCTACTGGCGCTACAAGTACAAGTGCTCCCGCCCCGCTAACATGGCACGCCATTACAGACATCGACGTCAAGTATCAGGAACTCACCTGGGCTGAGCGAGTCAGAGTTGCGCAGGGCATGCGAGACGACAACATGGGGGATGCACGATGGATCATCTACAAGCACGCCGATACCTTCGAGAAGATGGACCGCTACATTAATATCAAGCCCTGGGCGTATAACCGGGTCAAGCTTCGGGTCCCAGAGACCGAGTTCGACTATGTCAACGCCTCTGCCATTGCTCTTACGTCCCCGACCGACCCGAACAAGCCGCCGTTGCGTTACCTTGCCATGCAAGGCCCTACGGTATCCTCATTCGACCATGTCTGGCGCATGATTGCTGAACAGTGTCCCTCCCCTGCCGTCATCGTGCAGCTCACAAACATGATTGAGCTTGATGTGATCAAGTGTGATCAGTATTTTCCCATGGGCGATGAACTGCCCACCGGCGGACATGATACCGTCTGGGGTGTCAACGACTATAATCTGTGGAATGACAACTGGAGGGCAGACCTCACCTTTGTTTCTGTGGAGGAGCTTGCAGGTGGCGCAATCGAGAAGCGCAAACTACTCCTTCACGTCTACGGCGAGAAGGAGCCACGCGTTGTCTGGCATTTCCTCTACAGGCGCTGGCCTGATTTTGGTGTTCCAACTTCGGATGACTTGGACAGCTTTCTGGAGCTAATGAAGCTATCTCGACAGTATTGCGCACCGTCAACCCCACGCATTGTCCACTGCAGCGCGGGTGTAGGTCGTACGGGTACATTCATCTGTCTTGAGCACTTGATTAGGGAACTAAACGCAGGGTACCTGGCAAGATACGATTTGCCCATGGAGCGTGCCGATCTTGTCTTTCAAGCGGTTGACAGCCTCCGCCAGCAACGCCGCGGCATGGTCCAAGGCGAAATACAATACCGGTTCATCTACCAAGTCATGAGAAAGCTCTGGCAGGACAAGTACGGCCCTGTAAACGAGGAAGCCGGCAGTCGCGAACCAGCGGCTAAGAGACTCGAGGTCGCGAGTCCCTTTGCTGGCAATTTTCGGCCGGCAACGAATTAGCGATTTAACCGCGGCAGAGCAGCCTCGGACTTTACAGCCGCGATTCTGCGAAGTAAGAGCTCAGCATCCGCAGCAGATTGAGTGATGGGGCTATCCTCACGCTTTTTTGGCTTTGGCGTTTCTTTATTCTATTCTTCTTTGGATTTTTCCCCCCCCCAACTTCACTTCAATATCATTACGCAGGGATGTCTTTACCTGGCGCAACTTGGAAATGAGTCTTCAATGCCTGCTTCTTTTTCCCTCTTCATTTTTTCCCACGTTACCAACAAAGGTGGCAATCATCCTTGCATACATTTTTGCTTCTACTATTATCTTGTAGTCCTTTTTTTACCCCCTTGTTTTCTTCTTCTTGAGTGGTCCCATTCTACTCTATGTTATGGTCTCCCATTGTCGGAAACCTCGTATTACGAAGTCTTCATAGAAGGATCACAGTCGGACATACAGCATTCGGGGCATGAAGCGAAATGGAAACCCTGGAACAAGCATTGATTCACGAAAGGGTAATGAAGAAACAATATGCCCTTTCTTTTATTATTATTATTATTTTCTTTGACAACGTAGCGATGAAACAACATTATTACGGGAGACATGTTGGAGACTGTACGTATATAGATACTGAGAGTAAAAATTCAAACTAAATGCATGAGCGAAAGGATCAAACAGACAGGACAAACTACCTCCCAACTTGTGTATTAAAACTCCACGATGTGTTTCGTTTCCCTTTCCCATTCAGTATATATACTACATTAAAAACGTGGTCCTTTCCCTTTTTCCCGTCTGGGTGCAATTCATATATATAAAAACAATTTTGATGCCGCACCAAAGCATTATTTTTTCCGCCCTGTTCTCCTATTGTAAGACCGACTACATGAATTATATGCAGATTGAAACATGGGAAAAAAGAACGCGGAGACAAAAAAGAAATACAAAATCAAAAACGTTTAGATGGATTAAGCAAAAGTGTGCAGTTTGTAAGACAGATGAAACCAGCCTAGTCTAAACTTGCCCCCCTTAAGCGCTGACAGTGACGGTGACAGTCTCCTTCTCCTGCTGCGTGACGGTAACCGTGAAGTAGACCGACACGGTAGGGGTCCCGTTGACGACGGCGGTGGTACGAGGATTGCTGTCGGAGCTGGGGATGGCGAGCTCTGACGGGGCGGGATCGTCGGGGATGGGGATGAGGACGAGGCTCGTGGGATTAGGAGGGGGGAGAGGCGCAAAGGCGGGGGCCGAGGGGGGCGTGATGACGGGGGCGGGCTGGCTGGTCTTGATGGTCTGGAAGGTGGTTGGAGCTGGCGGCGGCGAAGGGGGGGGAGGAGGAGGAGGGGCCGCGGAGCTGGTGGTGGCAGGTGGAGGGATGACGGGGTCCGGAGTCGGCTGCTGAGGCTGAGGCTCGGGAGTGGGAGTGGATGAAGGCTCCTGGGGTACAGCCGGGGTTGTCGAGGAGGCCGGTGTAGTTGCAGGTGGCGGGGACGGCTGATCGCTGATGGTGATGACGGTGGTGAGAGTTACCGCCGGAGGATCAGCCGGATCGTCACTGGGGACAGCCGGCGTAGGGGCCGGCGTGGGGGCCGGCGCGCTGCTCTGAGGTTGGCCCGTGGCGCCGAGGATGTCTTCTGCTTTAGAAGTGTCCTGGCATCCCACCACGACGCCCTCGGTAACTGTCATTGGCAGGGCATAGCACTTCATTCCCGGGATGGTGCATGCCTCGAGGACAAACGCCCCGTCGGGACCGCACTTGGCAAGTTGGCCGTCGATGCAAGCCGCTTGGGAGCCGGTGCAAGCAGACTTGGGGGTCAGACCCTTGAAGACATTGTTGTATTGCTGGGCCTGGGCGAGATTGCTCGCAAAGACCTGAGCCGGAACGGTTGAGGTGCCAGTGGGAAAGGTGGTGAAGGCAGTAGGGACGGCGACGTCGGGTGTTCCCGTAGGCTGAACGGTGACAGTAGCAGTGAGCCTTGTCGTAGACGTGGCCGTGGTTGTCGGCGGTGGGGGCGGAGGCAAGGCTGACGACGACGGGGGGGCTGCGGTGGTTGATGGCGCAGAGCTCGTCGAAGAGCTGGGAGCAGGGAGCTCAGGGGTGGGGAGGAATACAGGCTTCGTCAGGGTGCTCTGCGGCTTTGAAGCTGGTAAAGTGGCAGCCTGACTGGAAGTGCTGGCCTCGGATGAGGTCGAGCTTGAAGTCGACGAGGCTGTGGAGGATGCAGAGGTTGGGGGCGCCGTGACTTCCGCTGGGGCTGATGAAGTCAAGAAGAGCGCTTCGCTGGTGGCACTGGTGGCAGCGGTGGACGGGATTGACGTGGAGCTAGACACCGTGTCATGAGTTGAAGCAGTCTCTGAGGTTGAGGCTGAGGCTGAGGTCGTTGGCGACTCGGTAGAAGATGCGGTCTCGGACGTTGCAACAGTAGTTCCAGGATTGGTAGTACTTGAAGTCAGGCTGCTTCCTCCGGTGGATGTGGGAGCCGCGCTGGTGGTAGAGTGAGGCTGGGTTAGACTTGTAGAGTCGACTACCGGCTTTGAGGGGATAGAGCTCGTGGTGAACTCGGCAGCAGTGGTTCCTGGGGCCTGAGTCTGCGATGCCGAAGTAGCTTCAGTGATAGCAGAAGAGGTAGCCTCAGTAGTAGCAGAAGTAGCAGAAGTAGTAGCACTCGTCTGCGTTGTTGAAGCCGTAGTCTCAGAGACAGGATCAGTTGTCTGAGTCCGAGTCTGAGCTGCCGTGGTTGAAGCAGTAGTGGCAGGCGCAGTGTTTGTAGTGGCCAAAGTCTCGGTGCTTGCAGAAGAAGCGGCATTACCAGTTGTCAGAGGCGCAGTTGTAGACTCTTTAACCCCGGTTGTCGCCGTCTGAGACTCTGTGTTTACGGTAGCAGAGCTTGAAGCCTCAGATCCAGTAGTTGAAGCACCTGTTGGTGTTGTCTGAGGAGTTGCCTCTGTCGACGAAGGCTTTTCTGAGGTTGTTGTTCCTCCGATAGAGGTTGTTGTTCCCCCTACAGAAGTTGTTCCTCCCACAGAGGTTGTCCCTCCCACAGAGGTACTGTGAGCTGTAGTCGAGGTAGCAACATTGGTAGAAGTGCCAGCGACGGTGCTGGATCCCTCTGAGGAAACACTGGTGGTGGCTCTATCATCTGGCAACGCAATTGTCGTGGACTGGTCAGCAACCTGGCTAGTTGCACTTGTACTGGCAAGCTCGGTAGAAGTAGCCGGGGCAGCACTCGTAGTAGGAATACCAACGGCCGTACTGGCCGTGATTGGAAGAGAAGCCTCGGTAGAAGTCTCGACAGCACTGCTAGACGTGGTTGGTGCGGCGGCGGGAGCACTCGTTTCAGCTGGAGCACTCGTTTCAACGCCTGCAGTGGTTGAAGAGTCCACGATTGGGATGACAGTGATTCCTGGGGCCGAAGAAGTGACTGGAGCTTGGCTCTGAACCTGAGAAGGCGTGCCAGAGGTGAGAGAGTCGGGTATATCTACTGACGAGCCCGTCAAGGTTTGAAAGATGGGGCGAGGAGTTTCGGCTGAGGACGCAGCGGGTTCAGAAGTAGGTCTGGAATTGGAGATGTTAGACATGTGTGTTTTCTTGACTTTTAGTCTTTTGCTTTTCTCAGTTCAAAGCGACTTACCCTTGCTCATTAGGAACTGCCGACGTCTGAAATACGGCAGTTGTGTCAGCTCGCGCAACGTTGGGCCTACACAGCGCCGAAGAGCGTTAGCATGATGCAAGAGTACAGATGAAAATTGATGACATTGAAAAGACTTACATTCTGGCTCTCAAGTGCGGCAATGGACCAGCCTGTGCGGGCTGAGCAGCCAAGAACATGCCCAACGAGGCGCTGAAGAGTATATCGTAACGCATTATGAGTCTTTTGGAGAAGGATCGCGCAGCGATGGAATGCAAGAAAAGAAAGTGGAGGAGAATTCGAATATAGTAAAGATCAACAATCAATGTCGTTTGCTATACCATGAAGTGTGGACAAAGGATTGAACGTTGATTGATAATAATTATGCGTGTTCAACACACAAGAGGTGCTTGTGTGCGGCCGGTGTCACGATGAACTTGACAAAGAGCGAAACAAGACGGTTCAACAGACGAGAATCAAAAGCAAAAAGCAAAGGGAAAACAGGTGATGGAAAGAAAAGGAAGGATATTAGACGGCGGCAGACTGAATAGCCGTAATGGCAGTGACTAGACGATGGGAAGGGAGCGTGGGTGACTCAAACAACTGCAAGTGAGCGTGATCGACAAGACAAATAAGGAAAAGAGGAGAATCTCAGAGAGAAGAAAAGAAAAAGAATGAAGGAAAAGAGACGACAGTAAGAAAGAGAATGAGAGAAGTGGTGAGAGTTCAACCAGAGCACCAGAGAGAGACACGACATGCAACGTTAATCATCAGATCGGGAACCAAGAAGAGAACAAGGCATTGGGAAAGGAAAGGATCGTCCCGCGTATTATGTATCTGCCACCAAACAAAGAAGCCGTAAGAAAGAGAGAAGAGCTCGTTGCCACCTCAAACGAAATAGACGCGCATGGCTTCAATGGCCCAGTCCCAGCATCATCGTAAACCCGCAAGTCAGAACCAGGGCCATTCCCTTCCACTGCAGCCTCCCGCCTGGGCATGGCAGAAACGATTGAAACGGGCACCTCTTCACGCCTCGCTCGTCTGAGAGCTCTCGGCCGCATCCGCGCGGTTGGTCACCGCAAGACCCCCAAACAAACCCCAAAGAGAATATTGCGTGGATTGGTGGAATGGATTGGATGCAACTTGCATGCTCCAAGCTGCTGTGCAGCCGCTGTCTGGGCCGGCGAAAGATGCTGGCCTATCAGCGCCGCCCCACCGCTGCCACCTGTGGCTCAGCAACCAGTGGGTTCTGGATTAAGCGCCAGTCGCTGAGCTTTTGCATGCCAGTGACCCGACGGGCTTGTTTCGTGTCTTTGCATGGTGGTGAGAGGATAGCCTGGGGGGGGGGGTTTTTTTCTTTCTATTTTCTCGTTTCTTCTTTGTTCTTTTTCGGGGGGGTTACGGAGTAGTTTTAGTTCCCTTCATCCTGTTCGGATGTGTGTTCCGTGACCAAGCATGGCGTGGCTTCACGTTCAAAGGCACTCGTTTGCTTCCTCAGACAGCCAAGACTCCCAGCCTAGCAAGCTGTTTCAATTCTCTCCGATCAAACCTCCTTCTCTCAGCAAATACCACAATTCTGACTCTCTCTTGTCTGTGTGTATTTCCTTGTATTACATCTTAGCACCCTGTTTACCAAGCTTCTTTGTACTACGAGTACTCTTAGCAGGCCGGCATCTCTACACCAATCGGAAGCCCATTCGACCCCCTGCACTCTCGGTTTTAAGATGAGACTGCGATAGCCGCTCAGCCCTCTGCAACCTCAGAATAGAAGCAGCAGAAATTAGACTACCTGACCTGGTAGCACCAAGACGGCCAGTTTTTGTGTACCAGTTACTAACATGTTCACTCTTGTGTTCCTACATGTATCACCAAGGCACAATGCGATATCTACTTTAACCTCATAACCTCATACGTGAGTAACGTTAATTCTACCATCTATTCTCCGGGATGATTCACGGGCCCCCGGTTCGGTTCCCACCTCTCCAAACAGGAATATATACAGATTATAGAGTCAAAGCCAATGTCTCCTTGCAAACGCCCCAATACCATGCTCCCAGTTTCAAATATTGCTTACATGTAGATTCCCAAGCCCAGCTTACACATTCCCATGGCTTCTCCATTCACTGCCGCGCTCCACCTCGGTAGCCCTGCTTGTACTCGTATCTTCTGTCCACGAGAAGCGCACCCGCTCCAGCACGCGCGCCAAAACACAAAGAGATTCGTCTTCTTGCATATAGACGTACGCCTCCACAGCCTCTTCGTCAGGCCATGCCCAGTTCAACCCAGCCGCGCCAATTGCTTCCCGCAAAGACTCCACTACCCCTGGTTCGAGCATCGGCTCGGCCAGGAATCGAAAAGCGCAGAGAGTCTTGACAAAATCCGCATACGGCGGCGGCTCGTCCAGCTCCGACAATGCCTGAACCACTTCAGACTGCCCCCACACCTCGATCAACCAGCTCAGCAGCTTGGCCATCTGCTGAAACTCGCCCAAGTACGCCAAGGAAATCATATACTCGTAAGCGTGCTCGCTTCGAGCTGGGTCCCTTCGCCACATCATCTCATCCAATGGTGCCACTTTCGTCGTACCCAGCAGTCGCCGGCTTTCTCTTTCATGTGAAGCAAGTTTGTCAAACAACTCATTCATCCGCAAAGCGGAAGACCGGAAGTGGCGAAACACGCCAAGCGCTCCCGGCCTGTTGTCAAAAGTATCCCATTGCATAGCATCCCTGTGCCTGGATTTCCTGTCGTACAATGCCCACAGCGCGTCATCTTTGGCCGTTGGCGAATCAGATTCCAATTCGGTGGAAAGCTGCTCGAGTTCGCGCTTGGCTATCTTTCGTATAGTCTTACTGAACTGTATGAATGCCGGCAGTGGAAGGCCACCAGGTCCATCAAGTTTCTGTATGACATGAAGAGATAGCTTGAGCTGCTGATAAACAACTATCCTTAACCCGTGATGGTGCTGTGACAAGTTTTTCAGAATCGTTCCCCAGATGAAATTGGACCACTGTGTCTGGGCTGGTCCTAATCGCTGTTCCGCCAATTCAATAGCCCGTATCATGTATTTTCTTGCTCGTTTGCCCTCTTGTCGTGTCATCACTTGGATATATGCTGAGATGATTCCAATAGGCACCTTCTTCAGAGCCTGGGCATCCATCTCTTGAGATACTAGACGATAAAGATCCCCAGTCCGATCGAAATCGTGTAGGTACTTCCGCGCCATTTCCATTGATTCAGTGTTGGCCACCAGGATGGCAAGGCAGTTGCCACTTGGACGGATACCATCCAGCAGCATCTTCTCGTAAAGCTGAGAGACGCTTGGCGGGCGAATGCGAGCCCTTTCAAATTCCGTGAGATTGGCCTCCTGTGGGGTAGGGAAGTTTAAAGCTCTGTCGCCAGGGAGGGCTCTGGTGTGTTCGTCGGCTTCTCTCATCGTCAACTTTTCAAGCATGGCAGTATACTCAGCTAAGCCAAGCTCAAGCCCCTCTTCGGGAGGATTCTGGAACCTCTCCCAAGCTTCCTGTGCATTGCGCGTAGCTCTGATGGAAGCCTCCCACAGGCCCATCTTTCGATTCCTCGCCAGCGACACCCGTTGCTGGATGGTCGGCGTACCGTCTGGAGACATGCCCTGTAGGATATCAACAGCATCATCGTGCGCGTCTTTTGCGAACCCAGCTTCTTGCATCAATACTCCTGCTCGCACGGACCGGCTCCAGCTGTCTTCGGGATCCATCTCTTCGTCCATGCCATCTCCGGGTAGTAAATACGGAGGCCATGTAGGCGCGTGTCTGACCGAACTGTGCATTTCGACTTGATTTTTGGACATGCCTGCCAATACCTTTCTGATTGCACGAAAACCCTCAACGTCTACCAGGAGTTGTCGTTTTAGTCTAGAAGAAACAGCAAGAAGAATTCTTTGTGCCTCCCAAAAGAATGAATTTGGCGATGACTTCTGAATCGAATGTATGCGGTAGTCCGAACCAAACAGTCGAAGCCCGTGGTTAAACACCAAGCATTGAGCTTGATAGATTTCTTCTTGTGGTAGGGCTGATTCCGCTATTGTCTCGATATATTGAACAGCTAGTTCTCCGAGTTTGACTGTGTGTCTAGCGTCGAGCCGTATGCAGTGGTGCGCAAGAAGGGACATGACGAAATTGAAACTCGCCGGCCCATGTGCCCGCTTTGATCTCTTGGTACGGACGCTTGGTCCACTTGATTCAGCTCTCATCACATCCAGATATGAGGAGCGACAATGGCTAATGAGACGACCGAGAGTCTCGAGACTGGTGAACTTTGATGATTGCCGAAGGAGAAAGTGTAAAATAAATGGCGGTGTATATGAATCGCGCTCAAGAAACCTTTCACAGCGCACGTCATCCGTCTTGCCTTCGAGAATATACAGATAATAAGCCAAGTCAGTATGCGAGTGGCCATTTCGCCGTGTGACGTCCATTGCCTTTTCCCATTCTTGAGAAGATGGAAGGAGATCCAGAAGCCCGTTCTGGCGGGGTTCTTGAGGCGCTGTCTTGCGAATTATCATCTGCAGCAGGATTATTGGAAGACGAGCGCTACGACTCGCTGCAGCCTGTATCTTCCAATTCTCGGTATCTTCATTGGCCTCCAGCACCTGCTGCAGTAGGAAATTGGGTGATTTATAACGCCATGATGTAGGGAACGTGGAGGAATGTCCAGCCCTGCGATGGCGGCGTGAGGGAGAGGGCGGTTTCGACGAATCTAGAGAGCTTTGAAGTGTGTTGGCTTCGGTAGGTTCGGCATGGGTATCTTTACGCCGCCCGCGATGTGAGGAACTATCAGTGGGAAGCTCATATTGGCGAGTTGGATGGTTTTCGTAATTATGTGTGGGAGACTCAGGTGTGTGTCTATAAAAACCAGTCGATGTTGTGGCTCGTGGGATGTGTCGAGCGGATTGCGCTTCAAAAATATGGTCGTCTCGGTCGAATCTAGAGATCCTTCCAGTCTCGTGCCCAACGGCAATGGCAGCTTGTGATGCGAAAGCTTGGCGGCTATGGATTTGCAACGGCGATCCATGAACCATCTGCAAAAAGGCGAACGTGAGATGCCAAACTCCCCTTGGTCGAAATTCATGGGCACCTACCAAAGATGGATGGAACAGTTGGCGCGGCACCCGCCGCCTTTGCTCCAACTCCCGTGTTGCATTTCTGAGCATTCCTCCTCATGTCTCCAACACGGCCAGCAAGGGTCCGTTGAAGAGGCCTCTGTCGTGAAAATTGGGCGGTTGGAGGGAGTAGCCAAAGTGTTGTCGCGAGTCTTCCAAAAGTTCAAATTCGGCCTACCGTCCAAATGCAACAATCGGGGCGTGTCCAAAAGCGGGTCTCTTCTATTATGGAGTAGCCCGGATAGACTACTGCAAAGGTACTATAGATTAGTATTACCTACTAAGTAGTAGTACCTACTTAGTAGGTAGTATTGTCAATCATTCGTCAAGCTTCATGATGTAACTTGCAATCGACTTTCTCTGCAAAATGATCCATTTTCAAATAATCCCTAGACATCATCATACAAGATGGAGAAAGCGCCCAAGTATTTTTGCACCTATATAATAGTCACATGTTGGAATAGAGCTCCTCGTGGCCAGCCAGAAAGAAATTTGAAACCTTTCCAAAGTGTCTATATTACGCATCACTGTCCTTCAGCTTCTTCTTCTCTGCTTCTTCCTCTAATTTTTCTTTCCTCTTTTGCACTACCTCCCAGTTGTAAACCCTCGCAGTTGCAACCTCCATGGTCTAAACCCATCGTCAGCAACCCAACCAAACCAGCTTCTCAAAGGCCAGGAGGCTACTCACGGTAATCTGCTCTCGGAGAAAGTCCAAGTCTTCCTCGCAGTTTGACAGGCTTGTCTTGGCCGCTGAGAGCTTGGAGGTTAATAGCGTCTCTGCTTCATCGACTGGGTAAGATAGCATGACATTGGCCTGTGGTAGAGTCAGCTTGGCGGCCCTTGTTTTCCCAGCACTCCCATCATACCCCTAGCCAAATGTAAACCTCCTCAGTCGGTGGGATGTTCGCTCTAGCATATAAAGTATCGTTGAGCTCAAAGGTTGTCTCAATGGGGTCGGTCTCCTCCTAGACTCAGGCATGAGCAAGCAGTTTTCCTTGGAATGGCTTTGCATAGTCGAACCTTTCGTAGCTTGAGGAACTGCACGGTATCCAACGTCTTCTGGATATCAGGAATCTTCTCCCTCAGCCCCGTCATTCGACGTTGCAGGTTCAGCTCCATGAACTGATACTTCCTACCACGGGCTCATTAGCCCTTTTGCCATGGCAACAGTCCAAACTGTCGCAGCTCACGAGATCATTTCTTGGAAGTTCCGAAGTGTCGGTTCGACATCGTCCCGGGTTGACACGTAGTCTTCGACCTTGTCGACGAAGGGAGCGTAGGGAATTCCCCTTGGGTTGGTCGGAGTCTCATCTTTACCACTGGGCACAGCTTTGTTAGCACCTTTGTAGATCAAACGTCAGCCTGTCACTGCCGCTCCACTTGCCTTGCGACTAGCTGTTTTTCTGAGCTCGCCATCTTTGCTGCAGTGCGTCTCTCGGCGCATAGAATTGGAGGTTTTGGACAGAAGTCCAGGTCATGCCGCCATGGCCAATTCGCAGGAATAATAGTGGGTACCTCACCGACGGTGAGGTGAGGGGCAGATGGAGGGGTTCCTTTACAAGAATAATGTCACAAATATTTTAGCCAAAGTGCAGGGTAAGAGGTAAGAGCCCATGGCCCATGTACTCGTCTAGAATCAAGATGTTCTCTAGGTATTCAAGTAATTAATGTGCCTCACTAAGAATTACAAATGACATCAAGCAAAGAAATTGTATGGGGTTAAGATTGTAGATGGCTTAGCCATGGGTTCCTATCTGGGGCTCGCTTTGTCGTGATATAGCTTACGCATGCTCCGTAAATCGCCATAGAATCTGTGATACATAACATCGAACAGGATGAGTGTTGTTTTCAGTAAACCCCAGAAACGATTCTTTACCGCTCCTTTCATAAGTAGATTGTACTCAATGGTAAGCAAACTTTTTATGTTGCATTCTTGCTAAGAAAGATATGGCTAAACGGTGTTTCCCCACCACGTTTAGAGAGACATATAGCTAAGAGGCATGAGCGCGTATACATCGTCTACCCTCCCCAATTCATACTATTGCGCTCAGAGACACATTTTCGACACGAAACGCCAGCAACCTTATCCCGTCATCATACTTGTATACATATGTGAAACCCTCCCCCAGATCGACCCAAACTCCAGATACTAAGCCAAACCATGTTAATCTGTTCGTTTCTTAGCTTCCCGAGCACCGGCTGCATCAGTTTCCTTGGCGATTGCAGGCGATGGCGTATCGGGAATCGATGCGTTGTCATCATCCCAATTATCTTCAGCGTTTTCATCCCAGTTGTCGACTTCTTCTTCAAGAGTCCTGCTTCGGCTCGAGGCGTCCGTGATTCCAGACTCCTGACCTTGCCCCAGCTCTACGTCTTCAGTGTCCTCACCTGGAACAGCATCATAGTGTTTGCGCTGTCGTTTCCTTTCAAGCATCCGCTTGTGATACCATGCACAGATGCCAAGTCCAAGTAAACTACCAACGATGTTTGCTACTATATCGTAGATGTCGAAATCTCGATCGTTGGGAAGGAAACTCTGTACGAACTCGGATCCGACACCAAGTATGAGAGTGCAGACCACCAGGGTCATGTGTAGGATTCGTCGACGATTGGTATCAACGACCCAGTAGAATACGACCGTCAGTAGGAAGAACGTTACGAAGTGGAGGACTTTGTCGTTGACATAGGCGCCGAGCTGTATAGTCGATAGACCAGCATAGCCCGCCAGGAGCAGAAGAAGCAGGAAAACACCTTGAAACTAGTATTAGCATCTTCCAGCGAGCTAACAAGGCCGGCGCGTGTGCTATTCGCAATATGCAAGGGACGGAATTTTTTTCGTGATGCGGTCGGTCTGTGCTAATGACGTACGCACCTGCAAAGGGCAGTCTTATCCGCATGGCTAGGTTCGGGGAGTCGAGGAGACGGCTCCAAATGTGACAGAGGTCTGAGTAGTATGATGGCCTGGAGAGCAGCAAAGCTCCCTAGACCAAATGACTCGATACAAGGCAGCGTATCTGCATGCAATTGGCGTGGAGTTGCGAGGGAGCTTGTCTTGAGCTGGAGAAGCAAGCTGTGGCGCAGCCGAATACGTACCGACCCAGCAGGTGGTGGTGCTTACAGAGGTACCTGACATGGGCGACTTAGTACCTTGGTACTAAAGAAATGGGAATGTCTAAGCTGGCACGGTTCACTCTTGGGCACAGACGTTGAGGTTGTTATACACAGCAGCGCTGATAAATCGTTCGATTTCTACTCAAGTGCACAAAGAGAATTTTCACAGCGAATCTAGCGGCATCCTTTGTCTTCTGCTGCTTGCCTTTTCGGCTGTGTGGTCACTTAGTACCGATGCTCTGTAAGAATGTGCTCAGGCAAGTGAGCTAACCATCACGTGTGGTCTCACGTGTAAGTGAACTCAACTGGGAAAAAAAGGGTTTTCCCTTACACGTACCTCAGGCGAGACAGAGCCTTAGTAAGGCAGAAAAATAATACTCGTACAACTGGCACAGTACGGGCGCAAGTACTTTCGTAATGCTAATGCCTCTATCCGTGAGATGTACGAGTACACGCACGACGTAGGCCCATGCCCCCGATAACCCGCAAGCACTCATTGCAGCGGCATGCATAGAGCCTGTCAACGCAAAGCAAGCCTTATCGATATTTCCATGCAGCAGAACCTCCTGCGTCGCCCTGCTCCAAGAGTCCGGTACAGCGCCCCATAGCGGTGCTTGTGCTGGTACCACCGGCCCAGCTGCCGCCGGACAGTGACCCAGTGCAAAGTCTCCGCTTTGGGGAAGGGTTCCCCATACGTACAAGCCTCCCAAATCCTCAACCTCACCTCTCGATCCGCAGACAAACCAAGCGATCGCGATCCATCGAAACTCGGCCAAGTCATCTCCGTTCGTCGCGATTTCCTGACCGCCATCTCTATCGATGCTTCTCCTTTGGCCCATGTGTTGTTGAGCTCCTCATTCGCTCCCGGTCCGGCCGCACGCGAGCGCATTCGTTGGCGCATGGCGAAAGGGGCCTTGCTGTCGCTTTCATCGCTCGGGGCCCAATATGACTCTTCCTAACGGTCAGGCCGCCTGGCCGCCGCCAGGACTGCATCATTCCAACAGCAGCAGGAGTTTGCAGATTGTTGACGATGGGTTGGCGCGTATCGCGACCCCAGTCGACACTTCGCTGGTGTTGATGCCTGAGGCAACCCTTGATATCGAAGACGAGAGGCGACGCGCCCATTTCGCAGACTTGTTTCAAAAATCAGAAGAAAAGATCGCCCTGCTCTTTGCGGACGACGGATCCTATAATTTGAACGCGATCGAGGCTCTACGACGCTACCCCCCCACCCCTGCCGTTACCCTCCCTCCAACCACCGACCACGAGCCCATAAAAGAGCCGCCACTAAAGAAGGCGAAGCGTACAATAGACGAAGATGACTATGACGACGATGACGAAGACGACGAAGACGAAGAAGCATCGTCTGCCGCTCCCAAGCCTCAGGGTGCGGCGGCTGCTTCCAACTCGCTGTTATCGCCGTCCAAATCCGGCAGTTCTCCGGTTCAGTCGGTCACTTCTCCCAGCAGAATAGCAGATAAAGCGAGGTCCCAGGATGGATCGCAGACCAAGGTGAAGCCCGAAGATGATGCCATAAAGCAACTGGAAGATGTGAGGATGGCAACAGAAGCCGCCGCCCGGCGAAGCTTCCATACGATTATATATACCTTAGAAAACGACCGAACGGCAATGCTTGAGCAGCAGCAACTAGAAGATTCTGAGAAGCAGCTCCAGGCTGAAATGGAGAATAACCAAAGCGCAGGTGCGGCTGGATCACAAGCTGCGAATCAAGGGTCTCTCAGCAGCGCGAATCTTGGCGCGTCAAGTCTCACCCTCAAGCATCTCATTGCAAGGATAGACATGAAGAGAGATCAAGTAAAGGCGTCCGATGCCGAGCTGAGGCTCTTGATGAACGAAGTGCGGAAAAACCGCAGCAAGTGGGCAAGCGAAGAAAATGTCAACCAAGAAGAGCTGTACGAAGCTCTAGAAAAGGTCTTGACGGAGCTGAAAGCTCACACGGAGTACTCAACGCCGTTTCTCACCCGCGTCAACAAGAGAGACGCTCCTGATTATTATAATTGTATGGGCAGATTCCACATTTCGCCCTCGAGCGTGTGTAGCTTTACTAATTTTGCCCCTAGTCATTAAAAACCCGATGGATCTGGGCACGATGACCAAAAAGTTGAAATCGTTGACCTACAAATCTAAAACCGAGTTTGTGGTTGATCTTAATCTTATTTGGGACAATTGCCTCAAGTATAACCAAGACATGAACCATCCACTCCGCCGAATGGCAAATGGAATGCGGAAAGAAGCAGAGAAATTGATACCTCTGATTCCAAATCTCGCCATCCGATCGCGGGCCGAAGTGGAAGCTGAAGAACGAAGGAAGCAAAATGGCGGCGAAGATGACGGCGGCGAGGACTCTGATGATGAGCCCATCATGTCGTCTCGTGGTCGCAAGGCCACGACCAAGGGAGCCAACAAATCCAGGAAGGCTCCTAACGATCCCAAAGAGGATACCCCTGTGGTTGACCAGAAGCCAATCTTACAAGTAAACGGACTGCTGGGCAAGCTTGGTCGTGAAGGATCAGAAATGGACGGGAGCAACGGGTTTGCCACACCTCCGATTGGCGGTTCCATCACGCCCGGTGCGGCCAACGGCCCGTCTGGAATTACAAGCAACGCTGATGTCATGGACATTGACGGCCCTAGCATCAACGGAATGAGCCTGAACCAAGCCTTTGGCCAAGCTGCCGAGCAGGCTTACGAAGATGAGGAGTATAAGATATGGAAGCAAAGTACAAAGAAGGACCGAGCTCTGACAGCCAAGGAACGATTTTTGCTGTTCAAAGACAACAAGCTTAGCGTGGATGCTCCCGCCTTACTCAGAAGCAAGGCAGGCATGCGAAGATTCCTGGCTCGCCAAAAAGAGGCGGAGCTGACCAACAGCACTGAGTTTGATACTTCCGCAACTACTGCCAAAGCCGCTGGAAGCAAAGCTCCTGAGACATTGGCTGAGGGCATCGAGGAAGAAAAGGAACAAGTAATCCCCGACTACTATACCCCCCTGAGCAATATTCCAGATATCCCCTCGAAGCTGCAATGGGTCGAAGATGGCGACGGCCAAGTGATCAACCAGCATGAGGAGTTCCTTCGCCTCGTTTCGCCCGGCTCGTTTGTCGCATCGCAAAGTAAACTGACCAAGAAAATGGACGAAAACATCCATCAGATACAAGAAACAAGAAAACTGGCTATGAAGATTTCTGTCATCAAGCAGATGCAGGTCCAATCCCAGGTAGGAAGAGCTCCCCTCGTAAATTTCTCTCCTCCGGGGGTGATTGCAAGCTTACACTTAGCCAAAGGTTTATACAAATCAGTTTCCAAAGTCAAATTCTGAACTATTCAGGGAGCTGGATATTGAGCCACATTTCATCGCAGATGATGGCCCAGTGATGGCAGCCGAGACGTGCCAGAATGCTCTAAAGCGTTCCATTGCGAAGATTCTCTATACCACCGGCTTCGAGGAGCTGCAACCATCCGCCATAGATACCTTCACGGGCATCGCAGCCGACTATTTTCAAAAGCTAATTAGAACGTTTAACATCTACCGAGAGGCTGAAAAGAAATCAGTCCAGGTTGGAGGCGAGATGACGCTACAGTCGCGCTTTACACCAGAGGAGGTGATCCTTCATACGCTGGAAGAGAACGGACATGATGTTGCCACTTTGGAGAACTATGTCAAGGACGATGTCGACAGATTGGGTAGCAGGCTGGGTGCTTTGCACGACAGGATGAAGTCCCATCTGGCTGACCTTCTCCGCCCTGCTCTTTCGGCAGAAGCAGGTGAAGATGGAGCTGGCGCTTTCAACGACGGCAGCGATCAGTTCACCAGTGGAGATTTTGCCGAAGACCTTGGAGAAGATTTCTTTGGCTTCCGGGCTCTCGGACTGGACAAGGAGATGGGTCTCGACTTTGTTTCCGTGCCGTTCCATCTGCTGCAAAGTAGAGTGCGCAACCAGTACCAGATGCAAACGCAAAACTCTGGCGGGTCAAGCAGCGAAATATTCGAGCCGCTTCTCATCTCGGAGCCTGTCACCAAGGAGAACATCCAGCACCAGGTTGGCTTGGTCAAGAACTTCTTCCTGGCCAAACTTCACGCTAATGGCGACACGCCACTGGTTGAGGATGAAGATCTACCGACTAAACAGCGCAAACCGCGCCCCCGTCTCGGTGCCAGCGGCAAAATCATTTCCGCGCAGAAACGTCCACCCAAGGAACAGTTGGCGCTCGCGAAGAAGAAGAAGAAGCTGGAGGCCGCTGCGGCTGAAGCTCGATTGAATGCATCCCCTCAGAAAGGGGGAGCAGCAAATGCAGCGGCTGCGAAGAAAATAACGGCACCTCTTCCGAATGGTGCTGTTCCCAATCCTGCGCTCTTAGCACTGGCACCTAGCATGGAGCGGACGGACAGTATGCAGAGCCAGGGCGGCATGAGCCAAACTGACAAGGACGACACCACTGGCATGATGAGCCCAGAGAGCATTGCTCAATAGTGACTCACAGTAGCGGGCAATTATTTGGCTTCGGCAACTCAGGACTCCTACCCTCTCTGCTTTCCTCCCATCAATACTGTACATATACGATGCACCTTATGGGTAGTTTGGTGCACCGAAGAAATATCTATATTGGCCATTATGCTTGCACCCGTCAGCATTCCGGCCCGACAAGTCTTTTCATTACTCAATGTATATCTGATGCTTTAATGCTTCTCGACCTCTAATGATTTCTAACCTTGCCCCCGGCTATACCCCTTCTCGGACCTGGGGGACAAGGACCGGACCGGCCTCTTCTTTCTTCTCCTTTCTATTACCCCTTTAGCTCTGGACATGTCTTTATCCTCCGAACTGGCCGGCCTCGAAACTTTGTGCGGCGTTTTATAGGATTTGATCATGGAAAAAAAAGAAAAGAAAATAAGCCTTGGCTCTTAACGAAAACGAAGAGCTATGACGAATATTGCGAACGATTTGGTGGTTTATTTGAAAGAAGGGACGAAAAAAGATGAAACCCGAAATCGGATTGAATCTCCCACTCAAAAGAAGAAAAAAAAAATCGTTGCTTTTTTTTTCCAGTTTTGTGCATTGCGCTCCAACCAAAAAGAGGCGGGCCATCTGTCATGGCCATGAGAAACAAATTTTCCTCCCCCCCAAAAAGAAAGATTAGGAGGGACGTGTGGATGAATTTTATGCTATTGACCTGAGGCGGCAAAGATTGTTTCCATCCCTCCCCCCTTTGGGGGTTATACTCTTCTTCTTCTTCTTCTTCTTCTTCTTCCCTTTTCCAAACTCTTTTTATTTTCTTCTTCTTTTTTTTTGCTTGTCGGTTTCGTGGTTAAACTGTCCTTTCTGGTACCCCGGTTTCTAGATTATCGAATTCTATTACGAGATTTCGGCTGCGCGGCCATGGTTTTTGTGGATCTTGGCGGCTTAGATGAAGGGCCTCGGTCAATCGATTTGTTTGATTGCTTTTTATTTTCCTCTCTTTTTCAAGTTGTGTTGTTTTCTTCTTGTTCGGTTTTCATGCTCCGTGGTGTGGCCTGATTCCTTTGGTTGAAGGCGTGGACGAATGGAATGGTTTGAATGTGAATGCGAGGACAAACGGGTTGGGTGGTGGGCGTGGGGAAAACGAGTCAAGGAAGAATGCTAGGTGATAGGCAATACACAGCCTTTAATAAGCTTGTTTGACATGATGTTTCACTTGTAGATCAAGGTACGGGTGAGAAATGTATCGTTCATCTACTGGTAAACAGTACATGGAGCGAAATATCTCGCACAAAGCGTCACCAGGCACGCACATATTCAATTCGGAGAATAATATGTTTTCTCTTACTAAGCTTGCCTACTTGTTGAAGCAGGACAGGACATACCCATACCGACGTTGAATGCCTTTGATATCAATGACCAAAAAAGGTTCGTATGCCCCCCCTCAATCCCCCAAAATGTTCCCAGTCATAAGAAAACTCCCCTCCCACTCACTTCCGGTTGAAATGGAAAAAGATCGCATGCGCCAGCCCTCATGTTAAAAAAAAAACTAAAATTGCAAAGTTGTTGAACCTTTTCGCCATTCTTTTTTGGCTTTTGTCCCATCCCATGTTAAATGCCTCCTTTGGTGGACTTGATCTTTTTTGATTCTCCACTTTTTTCAATTATTTTGGTATATGATTTCGTTTTTGGAAAAAGAAGTTGTATAAAGGAAAATTGTCTCTTTGTTTTCTGCAGCATCTTGCACTTAGATGCCGGCATCCAGGCGCCAGCCCTCAACGGGAAGAGGGAAGCCGCTAGCCCAGGCGGCAATCTCCTTCTGGAGATCGTTGATCTTGGCGATGTTGCCAGAGGCAACCTCGGCCTTGAAGTCCTTGAGCTTGTTGGCGGCCTTGGGCAGGGAAGCCTGAGTCTCGACGCAGATCTTGATGGCCTGGTCAATGTAGAGGGCGACACGCTCAAAGTCCTTCTCTCCGAAGCCACGGCTGGTCATGGCGGGAGTACCGATGCGGATACCGCAAGGGGTCAAGGCGCTCTTGTCTCCGGGGATGGCGTTCTTGTTGCAGGCAATGTTGATCTGCTCGAGAACGGCCTCGACACGGGCACCGTCAAGGCTGAACTGACGGAGGTCGAGGAGGACCATGTGGCTGTCAGTTCCATCAGCAACAAGCTTGTGGCCGAGCTCCCTGAACTTGACCTCGAGAGTCTTGGCGTTGGAGACGACCTTTTCCTGGTAGGCCTTGAACTCGGGGGTCTGAGCCTGCTTGAGGGCAACGGCCAGGGCAGTGATGGTGTGGTTGTGGGGGCCACCCTGGTGACCAGGGAAGACGGAGAAGTTGATGGGGTCCTCCAGGTTGTAGAGGGTCTCCTTGCCGGTCTTGGCGTCGACGGAGCGGACACCCTTGCGGAAGAAGATCATGGCACCACGAGGGCCACGGAGGGACTTGTGGGTGGTGGTGGTGACAATGTCAGCCCACTGGAAGGGAGAGGGGATGGCCTCGGCGGCGATCAGACCAGAGATGTGAGCCATGTCGACAACGAGGTAGGCACCGACAGAGTCGGCAATCTTGCGCATGCGCTCGTAGTCGATCAGACGGCAGTAGGCGGAAGTGCCGGCAACAAGCACCTTGGGGCGGTACAGGATGGCGTTCTGCTGGAGCTGGTCATAGTCGATGATGCCAGTCTCGAGGTTGACACGGTAGGGCATGGTCTCGAAGTAGGTAGAGACGGCGGAGATCCTGCAGGGCGCCGTTAGTCAAGAGTTTGCTTGTACTGGTGCTCATTCTGTAGCTTACTTTCGCTGGGGGGTCTGGTAACCGTGGCTCAAGTGGCCACCGTGGGGGAGGTCGAGACCCATGAGACGGCCGTGGGGAGGCATGATGGCCTGGTAGACCTGGAGGTTGGCAGGGCTGCCACTGAGGCACTGGACGTTGACACCCCACTTCTCAGAGTCGAGGTGGAAGGCCTCGAGGGCACGACGCTGGCACAGCAGCTCGATCTGGTCAATGTGCTGGTTGCCACCGTAGTAACGAGCGCCGGGGTAGCCCTCAGAGTACTTGTTGGACATGGGAGAACCCAGGGCATCGAAGACGGCGCGGGAGGTGATGTTCTCGGAGGCAATGAGAACAATGGACTCGCGCTGACGCTGGACCTCATCTTTCTACAAGCTCCATTAGCCGAACGAGTCACGGAAAGGAAAGATGCTGGATGAGGGGACAAGGCGATGCTCCGAGGATGGAGGGGCAGAGAGTGGCAACTTACCATGATGGCAGCGACCTCAGGGTCAGACTCGAGAAGAGACTTCTCAAGCATCTACAGAAGCAGGATATAGTCAGTACACTGGCCTCATCGAATCAGGCAAACAAGCCCAATGGACCAAAACCCGGCGGACGAACCTCCTTGTGAGACGTGGACAGGGCGTAGGTAGACATTGTGGATGTCGATTGTGGGATGAGAGTCGAAGTGGACGAAAGTGAAGAGGGCAATTGACCAAGGGATGAGTGCCTTTGGAGGGAAGAAGGAGGGGAAAGGGTCAAAGATATGGGAAGATGGTGAAGAGAAGAAAGAGATGACAAGAGGGAAAAAAATGCGCCGACTAAAATTTTCCGTGGCGCCCAGGAAGAAGCACGTTGAGAAATGCCCGGAAAAAAAAAGCTACATATAAGAGAAATGCTAGACGGGCGAGATCGGATAGCGGGGAGTATCAGTGGGGCAAGGCGGTGAGAATCATGGAAGAGTTCTGTCCGCATCTTGGTGGGGTCACACAGCAGGTCACACAGTATCTATAGTAGGTTGGAGTGCTGAAAGGTGCTGAAAGGTGCTAAAGGAGGCACCCAGATGGCTCAAGGTATTCACCCGCCGATCGCTGGTTTAGGCCTGGCGCTGTGCTACTGGTGAAGCGCCGCCTAAAGCTGGTGTCATTCCCATGTGTCGCGGGTTGTAGCAAACTCAACTAATAAGAGTCATTTGTCGCTGTTTTTCTTTTCTTTTTTTCGCCCGTCACTGGCACAAGCTGCTGCCGATTACGCCAAACAAGGGGGCAAGCAAGCCCTGAGAAGGCGACTTGATTAATGGCTCAGATTCCATGAAACAGAGGTTTCGTCGTGCCCTGCGCCATCAGACTGCTTACCGCCAGATGCGGGAGCAGTGACAAGGACATCACACAGGATTTGAGCAAATCACCGAATGCTTGCTTACCGGGTACAGCAGGTAAGATATGCTGCGTATAGGTGAGGTACCTATCGCATCTGACGCACACGAGCTTGGCTTGCATCCTGAGACGGGCTGCCATGGCAAAGGATTGCTTCCATGGGATACGAATACGAATCCAAGTCTGGCGTGAATCAATAGATGGAAGAGATACCCCCCAAAATCATCTTGGAATTGACCTCTTTTTGGTCCGATTCGAGTACTATCAACAGGCACACATGATGCAAGTCGGGGCACCTTGATGACTGAAAATTGCACATGCAAATATGCCCAACTGTGGCTAGAAACCCCCCAAAACAGCCACATCCCTCTTCTCCCCGTGGCGCACCCTCCACGCAAGCGCCGTAGCCGATCAATTGAAGATGGCATCAAGATAACATCCAATGTTATCCTCCGTATTAGTCGTCATCCACAACCCCCCATAAATCCCACCACCCAAGAAAATCCAAAAAAAAATAACAATAAATAATAGATAAATAAATAATTATGAGCTGGCCGTACCACTTCCTGACCCTCTCAAAGGAAGACGTCCTCCTCCGCCGCCACACAATCGACCACTATGCCCGCATCGCCCTCTTGTCAGCTCTCGCACCGGCCATAATCGCCATCCTCGTCCGCCTCGTGCTTCGCGCCGCCAGGCCGCTGCTTCGTCTCGGCCGAGATGGTGGCGATCGGGGCCGGTACTCGCATATTCCCGGGTCGCCCACCGTCAAGGCCCAGCGCAGCAGTGGCTTTGGCGCCTTGGTCGCGAGATGGAGGGCGTTGGCGTGGTGGCTGGGCGACGATGTTGTTTTGGGGGGCGTGAGTTGGGGGCAGAGGGATGAGTGGGTGCTGGGGCTTCTTTGGACGGGCTGGCTTCTGGCTTTATGTGTTTTGGAGACTGGAGAAGGTGAGTTCCTCTCCTCGTGAGACTCTTTGTGTAAATCTCATGTGAGATCTCATAACAAACCCTTGTGATACTCACTTGATATCCAACTCAGACTTCATATATATCACCAACTAACTTAAAAAACAACAGACTACCTCCACCTCACAAAACGCTTCGGCACCATCGCCGTCTCCCAACTCCCCATCCAATACCTCCTCGCCCTCAAAGCCCTCAACCCCTACGCCTACGCCTTCAGCTCCTCCCACGAACACGTCAACCGCTACCACCGCACCCTCGGCCGCATCATCTACGCCCTCGTCACGACCCACATCGTCCTCTACAACGTCTTCTTCGTACTCTCCGGCATCTGGCTCAAGCGCTTCTTCGCCCCCGTCGTCTTCTGCGGCGTCCTCGCCGCCCTCAGCTTTGACGGCCTCTTCGCCACCGCCCTCGTCCGCGCAAGGCGGTACTCGTACCGCCTCTTCTTCGTCACGCACTTGGGCGTTGCGTTGCTTGCTCCCGTGCTGCTCTTCTTCCACGCTCATTCCGGTCGTGTATACGTCGCCGGGAGCGTCGTCGTCTTCCTCGCGGACATTGCCTATCGCAGATTCACCATGACTCACACGGCCTCGACGTTCGAGACTGTTCCCGGAACAAACCTCATCAAAATCTCCGCTCCTATGCCCGCGGAAAAGATTGAACAGTTCCGCTCTCGGCCGGGCTCCCACATCTACCTCAGCATCCCCCCCGAAGGCCGGACCAGCAAATACCCAGCGTCCAAATCCTTTACCTTTGACCTTCTCTTCAACCCCTTCACCGTTGCCTCCGCCAACCAAGACACCCAAAGCATCACCCTCGTCGCCAGAAAGCGAACAGGCCCCATGACCAGCATCCTCTCCCAGTTCGCTGCTCCAACCTCCCTCGACGACAACAAAATCACCCTCGCCATCGAAGGCCCCCACGGGGCCATCGGCAAACACTTCCAACACCTCCTCGCCTGGGGCGCCTCCCGCACCCTCCTCGTCGCCGGCGGCGTGGGCGCAACCTTCACCCTCCCGCTCTACCACGCCCTCCAACGCGAACTGCCCTCCGCCCACGCCCAATTCGTCTGGGCAATCCGTTCCGCCGCCGACGCCACCTGGGCCATGACCGGCAACGACTCCGACAAGCCCCTCCTTGACGACGACAACGTCCATCTCTACCTCACAGAGAACATGAGCATCTCCACCGACGCAAATAGCAGAAGCCGCGATGCATCCATCGAGCTCCAGAACATGGGGCGAGGGTCTCGCTCTGCCGCGGGTACTAACAACAACAGTAGGCGCCCCAACTTTCAGAAGATTGTAGACGACTTGTTCCGCCACGGCGCAGAGGAAAAGGTCGCCGTTCTAGTCTGTGGCCCGGAAGAAATGTCGAAAGAGGTACGGCAACGGATAGGACCATGGGTTCTCAAAGGCCGTGAGGTATGGTGGCACAACGAGAGCTTCGGATGGTGATGATTTGAACGAGAGACGAATCATGTATATAGATGGGTACCTAGGTACCCAATCATTAGATACACACAGACAAAGGTATATAAATGGCTGTTGTTCTTGTTCCAATATTCATTACGGAGGCACGGAACCTCAAGATGTCAAAAATGTTTTATTCTAGGCTTCATTCCCCTTTACAAGTTGGTTATTTGCCCTCTGCAGGGCTGTCGTGCTTTGGTCCTGTAAAACCGCAGAACCAAATCGATAGATGAAAGTGCCAGCAAATCCAATGAGGCATGCCGAGCCCATTCCCCAGCGGTGTCTATCTATCCTCTTCGGACGTTACTTGCCAAACTCCACAGTGCCGTCATATCAAGTTAAAAAAAAAAAAAAGCAATCATGCCAAGCCTCCATGTGGTATCAGAATCTGAAATACACCATCGTCAAGAATCATTCATGTAAGCCCCAGCTTCCGGAAGGTAAGAGGAAGGAGGCGGCAGCAAAAGCAAGTTATTAGAAACGAAACGAAACGAAATCAAAGGAAAATCATAGGCTGCGTCACTGCCGATAACGAGCCAGCTGGGCCATGATGTTCTGCACCTGGGCCGCCGCGTCGCCGGTGCCTGTCGCCTGTTGCGCAACTCCGACGGGCGGCTGACCACCGTATGGCGCGCCGTATTGCATCTGAGGATGGGCTCCGTGAAGTTGCTGCGGCGCCGCTCCTCCGTTGAGAGAGCCCAGGATTGCTTGGATATCGACGGGCGCATTGGCGGCTGGTGCTGCCGGCTTCGCGCCGCCGTGTGCGAGCCCGCCAGGCACCACTCCCGCAGACCCTGCCTGAATGGTGGACAGGAGCCGTTGCAGCGTGTTGTTGTCCACCTGGCCGATGAGACTCGCGAGGTCGGCAGCAGATGGCGCGGCCTGCGGTGGATACGAGCCGGGCTGCTGCATACCAGGGTACGCAGCTGCGTGAGGAGGTTGCGGGGCTTGTGCGCCATACTGCGTGGGATATCCACTGGCGCCTCCGTAGGGTTGGCCGTAGTTTGCTGCGCCGGAAGCTTTGGCTCGCAGGATGACTTCAGCCGCCGTGCCTGGCTCCAGGTCGACGTATTGCTCGAAGCGGACATTGTGGATGCCGCCGGACCGGTCGAAGGAGTGGACGGGAATCCTAGCCAACCCTTGGGCGCGGAGGTCCAGGTCTACAACCCCGTGCACGCCCTCGGCCGCTTGTCTTTGGATGACTTGGTCCTTTGGGAATCGCGGGTGGAGATACATGACATTGGTTCGCAGACCCTTGGCCTTGAAGGCACCCTCGACCCAGGTGCCAAAGTCCCGGTTGACGTCTGGCTGCATGATGATTTGGACATCTGGAACGTCTGCGCCGTATCGACGCGGCAGATCGAGCTCTGCCTCGTGCCGCGATCTGTTGTAGGGGCTGGGTGATCTCCTGCGGTAAGAATCCTTTTCATTCCTGGCGTATCCGCTGGGAGATCGGGAGCGGCCACGACCTCTGCCCGAGTCATAGTATCCTCGGTCCCGGGCGTAGCTCTCGGTCCTGTCAGTCCGGTCGGCTCTATCGGTTCTGCCATAGTACTCATTACGACGAGGCGACTGATTGCGCGTTGATCGATTGTCATCACGATATTTTTCTCCTCTACGGCCACCATCACGTCCGCGGGCCCGCTCAGGACTACGGTTCCTTTCTTTTTTAGATTTATCTTGGAGCCGAGAGATTTCCAAATCTGCATCAGGGTTAGCAACAAGCTAATTGGTGAAGGGGGTTAAAAATGGAGGCCCAGATCGATGGAGAGCCAGATAATCACTTACGGATGCGGCGACCTTTGACTTCCATGCCTTGCAGGTTTTCTAGAGCACTATGTCCTTCCTCGACGGTGTGATATTGTACGAACCCATACGCCGACTTGAGAGAAATCTGAGCCAACCTGCCATATCTGTGGAATATGTCAAATACATCACGCTTGGAAACCTTGTCGCTGGAAAGATTTCCTAGCAGAAAAACTCACATTAGCACATGCACGCGTGTATATATCTTGGAAAGTGAGAACATGAACTCAAGGCGGAGTCACTAACCGATGAAAATACGCGACCCCTCGGGGAAACGATCCCACTTGGCCTCCGACATGTACTGTCGCTCATCGGCCATGAACTGGTCCCACTGGCGCTGATAGTCGGCATCTTGGGCTCGATCAGCAGGATATCCGGATGGGTTGGATGGATATGGAGAAGGGTTTATGGACGCCGCAGCAGCCGAAGGGTTCATGGCTGTGGCAGGAGGGGGTGGGAGATTCCCCAGAGCTTCAGTCGAGGTTCCGGGAGCACCAGCAATAGGAAAAGTGGAGGGCTGTCCCGGCGTGGGCGACACCCCAACGCCTCCTGGGACATTGGGATTGGTTCCGGGAGGATGGTGCTGAGAAGCATACGATTGGGGCGCGACCTGCGGCAATGGAGGGCGCGGTGGGAGAGAGGAAGATGATGGCAAAGCAGTAGGGATGGTGGTGGCGGTCGAGGTAGCAGTTGGAGGAAAGGGGTTAGAGGCCACCGGGACATCAGCCGTTGGGTCAGGGTTCCCGGAGCTGGGTTCAGCGGGATGGGCAGTGAGATCAGCCACGAGCTGTTGGATGTCAAGAGATGAAGAGTTCTCGGAGTCTTGCCGGGCAGGGCCAGCTCCGGGCGGCGTGGGCTGAGCCACAAACGGGATGGAAGCAGCAGCGTGCGCATCGCTAGCTTGCGGCACGGCGAGCTCAGGACCAGCATCGGGCTGGGCGGTAGAGAGAGATGGGTTCTGAGCAGCAGCTGGGGCAGAGGCGGATGGATCAGCAGCGATGTGAGAGACGTCTGATGGGCGACTAGTCAAATGATCGGATAAAAATGAGGATGAATTCTCGTTGGATTCTCGTGGCTCTGATGATACATCTTGGTCTTCCCCTTCCTCGGGACCGATGGGAGAATCAAACGTCTTGGCGTAGTCGTCGCTGTTGTCGACGAGCTCCTGCCGCGGAGGCTCTACGACCACGTCTTCCGTCTCCTCGCCGTAGGCATCGCTGAAGCTGTCATCATCTACGACATCGTCGGTTTCACCAGAAGGCGCGAGGGAAGGATCGACGACGGGGGCGTCGGCCGTGCCATTAGGAAGCGAGGCAGCGGCAGCAACCATGGCGTCGATGGTATCGACCGTGTGCTGGAGTGCTGGCACCACAAGAGGCGCGGCTGTGTGGACAGGCGAGGGAGAGACAGGAGAGAGGTTGGCTGTGGCCCGCAGAGCTGCTTCGGGCTCAGGCTCTGGCATGAAGCTGGACTCGCGGCTGGCTAGAAAAGGTCTAAGGGGGACGAGAGAGGCTGGGCAGTTGCATCCGCGCAGAGAGAGGCTATTATGGAGTACCTTTTGCCGGCGGTTGAGAGAGGGATTATTATAACCTGCTTGTCGACGATGGTTCGATGTGGGGCTGATTGTGCGGCGGGCGCGCAAGGATTCTTTGAAGCTGCAGGCAATATTCGTACAGTAGCAGGAGGGACGATTTGCTGCTTTTGCGACACGAAACACTGGCCGGGGCTACGAGAGGCGGCTTCGAGTACTTGTACGGGGGTTCGGAGAAACGGCCTCGGCGCGAAGGGACGGGAGACAGAGACAGAGACGGAGACGGAGACAGGCTGCGATCCGTGACAGGACGCGCCAAGACGTGGGTGAGGCTACGTTGAAGAGATTTCGAGGGTTGAACTTGACGGGAGTTGGTTGGAGAAGAGGAAGTGCTAGCAGAAGCAGAAGCGGCCGGGAGGCTTATGGCAGAAGCCGCCTCAAATTCTGCCAGGCGGCTAGTCCTGTTTGGGCCAGCACTTTGGCCCAAGGCAATGCGGGGCGCGAACGAAAAACTCGGCAAGGCAACCAGCTGGGTTTATTCCCGTCTGTTCTGATTGGAATGTCTTATCTATCAGGTAACTTTATTGCTTGCATCATATCATTTTCAACTGATCCATATTACATATCTTACCAAGGATAAGACCAAGATTAGCGCTGGCTTCCATTTTCCCGTCCATCAATCACCGCGTGAGTGAGTGAGCGAGGGGAGCTGCAGCTTTACCTGCTGTAAGTAATAGATAGTCAAGCGTCTTTTTGCCATGGGCTGCTGCGAGACACCTTAGCCGGCTTCACAATGTTACTGTGGCATCTGCCAAAGAAATCGGTGCTACCAGCAATCGCCTCTCGGCAACCGAGGCTGTCGCTGGCCTTGTCCTCATCTCAGCTCGTCAGACTCAAACGCTACGAGGCGTATGATGCTCGACTAGACCAGGACGCCTTGGCCGAGGCTCGAGTGTGGTACAATTCATTTGACGCCTCTCAATTGCCCAAGGGCAATACCTCATATGCCAGGTCCAGTGGGCCTGGGGGGCAGCACGTCAACAAGTATGAAATGGCCCAAGGCCTCCCCCTCTTTCGGTGTCTGAATGGGGCCATGAGAACTAACTGCGAGACCGGCTGAAGAACTGAAACCAAGGCAGTCACGGTGTATCCCGTCAAAGACCTGCTCGCCGTTCTCCCCAAATATCTTCATCCCGCAGTGCGGTCTTCCAAGTACTACACGGCTGGCAATGACTCTCTCACATTTTCGGCGCAAACCCATCGGTCCAAATCCGCCAACCTTGACGAAAACAAACGCAAGCTCATAGACGAGGTCATGGGCATCTATCGTGAATTGACGCCTGCTGAGACGAGTTCTGAGAAGAAGAAGAAGCACCAGGAGATGTATGCGCGCACCCCCGTAGTCGAGTAATGAAGAAATGGATGTACTAAAGTAAAGACAGTGAAAAGAGATTTCACGAGACACGAGTTCAGGACAAGAAATTCAACAGCGCCAAAAAGCAGTCACGAAAGGGGCCTTTAGAATAGTACATGTAGGTATAGATGGGTGTTCCTCAAGGAGCTGGCCTCGTCATGAGCAATCTATGGACAGCCGCTAACTACTAAAGTACCTATAAACACTATATAGGTGGCAGACACAATCAAACCTACAGCACTCTGTAAGCTTCAAAAAAAAAAAAAAAAGAAGCAAAACAGGTAGTTTTAACCTAGGTACAACAACATCATCGGTTGCAAGGAAATGCACCAGCGATCACGGTGCGGCTGAGTGCATGCAGATTTGGGGGTTGGAGAAGGAATTTCAGCTGCACCCCAAAAAGAATGGAATCGTGGGTACCAAAATGGCTGCCCGATTTCTCATGGATTCTCCAACGTCGCACTCCCTTACACAGAGGTTAGCCAAGTGCTGGCTCTCTCTCACATGCTTTATTTGGCACGGGCAATCATCTCAACTCAAGCTTCGTATCCATCTATTCTGGATCAACTTTAGAGTTGGTAACTAAAAATAAACCGCATCTCTGCCACTTGTTGCCACCTCGATTTAGTTCCATAGAGTAGGGGTTCATCTCTTGGCAGCCTGCCATCCCCAAACGCGGCACATCTTGTAAAAATGAACATCATAGAACATAAGGTACATGACAAACTCCCGTGGACCGCGTATTACGTGCAGGTACTAATGTTTGTGATGCGTTTGTTAAAATCCTTGGGCTACACTAGACCCCAAATGGGTTCTTCTTTCTCATGGATGGATTTTCTTCCCTGATTTGCCCGCCTCGTTTAATCAGCCTCAGTCATACTCTACCAACCTCTGCTCAGGTCATCGGCTTTGAAATCGCAGCTTGATAGGCTGCCCAGTTGAGCCCATGCATATTCTAGGCTGCCCCTAGGCCCCTCCCCCACCTGGCCTTGAAAGACCGCCATAAACTCCCCTTAGCCGTCACAACTACCTACTAGGTACCTAGTAAGAATCAATCCCGCCCCCAGAATCCTTTGTCTTTGGGTCCAAGGTCGCAAAGAACCCATCTTCTCCCGAAACTCGCTCCCACATACACGTCAAAACAAGCGTCGCCTTGAACCTACCGCTCTTCTCCTGTTCGTAACTTGTCCGCCGCCGCCTTTTCCCACCCGGAGCACCTCCGCCTTTCTTCTTCTCCACGCCCTCTCCTCTCCGGCATCGCGGCTCCGACCACGATGAGCCGCCAGCAGCCTCAGCAGCAACCCCAGGTCCAGCCCTGCAGATACAAGGTTGGAAAGACGCTGGGAGCGGGCTCGTACTCCGTTGTCAAGGAATGCGTCCATATCGATACCGGGCGTTACTATGCCGCCAAGGTTATCAACAAGCGACTCATGGCGGGGCGAGAGCACATGGTACGCAAGCCCTCTTGATTGACTTCGACTTGGCAAACTCTTGTCGCCTCTCCGCTTCTTCCGTGTGCAAGAATACAAGAATGCGTGCTGATTAGATGGGGGGAGAGGAAACAGGTCCGCAATGAAATCGCCGTCCTCAAAAAGGTGTCCATGGGCCACCAAAACATCCTGACGCTGGTCGACTACTTCGAGACAATGAACAACCTCTACCTCGTTACGGACCTGGCTCTCGGAGGCGAACTGTTTGATCGCATCTGCCGCAAGGGCTCGTACTATGAATCCGACGCGGCCGATCTCATCCGCGCAACGCTGTCCGCCGTCGCATACCTCCACGACCACGGCATCGTTCACCGCGACTTGAAGCCCGAGAATCTCCTCTTCCGCACGCCCGAGGACAACGCAGACTTGCTCATCGCCGACTTTGGCCTTTCCCGCATCATGGACGAGGAGCAGTTCCACGTTCTGACCACCACCTGCGGCACGCCCGGCTACATGGCGCCCGAGATTTTTAAGAAGACGGGCCATGGCAAGCCCGTCGACCTGTGGGCCATTGGCGTCATCACCTACTTCCTCCTGTGCGGCTACACCCCGTTCGACCGTGACTCCGACTTTGAAGAGATGCAGGCCATCCTCAACGCCGACTACAGCTTCACTCCGGTCGAGTACTGGCGCGGCGTCTCGTCGCACGCCAAGGACTTCATCCGCCGCTGCCTCACCATTGACCAGGACAAGCGCATTACTGCCCACGAAGCCCTCCAGCACCCCTTCGTCGCCGGCCTCGCTCCCTCAGACGGCGCTGGTGAGAACCTGCTGCCCACGATCAAGAAGAACTTCAACGCTCGGCGCACGCTCCACGCCGCCATCGACACCGTTCGCGCCATCAACAAGCTCCGCGAGGCGCAGAATCTGATGATGGACGGCGCCCGCTCCCAGGAGCCTGCTCGCGCTCGCGGAGGTCCCAACGCTGCTGCTCCGCCCATCAGCGGTGCTCGCAAGGACGACAGCGCCATATCGATGGGCTCCAGCCAGGGCAACGACGCCGGCGCCGGCGCTCACAGACAGGCTGATGATGTCGTCATGGGCAACACAACGCCCAGCTCCGATGTGCCTGCGTTGCTACAGCCGGGCAACCTGGCTAACCGGATCGTACAAACAAGCAAAGGCCTCTGGAACCCTGAAGCCGCGAGGTAGCAGTGTACACGATATGACGAATCACACCAAAGGTAGTGATGGAGGGGGAGTCCCCTCCAAGCAGAAACATGAACTGCACATCACTGGCGCTGGCAGCCATTGATGCGCAGCTCGTTTCTCATAGAGGGCCTCCCAAATTTCGACGGGACGAGAAACGAGAATCATACTGCCGTCTCATGGAAATCCTCCTCCATCTCCATTACCCGTTCACTCAAATAACACGAAACAAGAAAAAAAAAATCGAGCCTCACATTTATGAAGAAAACCACCCCTGCTTATTTCATTTCCCTTTCTCTTTTCCTTTTTTCTTCTTTCTGTTTATACGTCTGTTCGAGCCATGGGAAATATTGAAGGGTTTTTAATGTTTTTGGTTCACGATGTGCCTGGAATGGGAAAGTGGTAGAAAAGGCATCATGTCATGAGATATCATAAGACAATGTATATGGCTACATAGCAAGTGAAATGGGCGCTTTAATATCACGCAATGAATGAAGAACTGATTACTATCCAACCATGATACGCATTTACACCAAAGACTAACGTATTCCATTTATTCATTACTGATGTTGGGACATTCCTTCTTTGACTATCATAGGGAGGCGGTTTGTAAGTAAGATACAGGTTTCGTTCATTCATTCATTCATTCATCCATCCATTGTTCATACACCATATAGAGAGACAAAAGTAGGTAGGTAGGTTTTCATCAATGTTTTCTTTTCTTCATTTGTGCCTTTTGTTCAAAAGGTTGAGCGAGCGGCATCTTTGGTATTTGCGCCAGTGGCCTTTGTAGTTAAAACTCTCCAACACCGCCCTCTCCCTCCATCCTGAATGTTTCTTTCTATCCAGCAATTGGATATGTTTCGTCCTTCCCAACCCGATCGATTCTCCTCCGGGTTGATTCTTCGTCAGCGCCCCCAACTCGTGGCTCACTTAGCGAGCGTTCAGTGCATGTAACTCATCCCATCCCATCTCATCTCCCATGCACGGATTATCCCCCTTGGTATGTATACATTACGTACTCTATCGTGTGAAGTAGTACCCTCTCCCGTGTGTCGAATGAATATATGCAGTCGAATCATTTGAAAGGTTCGAATGGAAAAATAATATCCTTTTCTTTCCCATGATTCCCCAATCCAGACTCCCTTCCCCCATTATTAAATATTCAATGTCCGGTTCAGCCATAACGAAGCCGGATGTGTTCCTCCCCTCACCAATAAGAGAATAAAATCAACACCACATTGCGCCATTTCGCTGTGCCGATGAATGCCAAAGATGTTTGGAAAAAGTGAAGGCCTTTGCCAAATATTAATTACGAATTTTGAATCGAATCATAAGCGGGTTCGTAACGCTCAGTCACCCGTCGTAAGGGTGATGAGTTTTGAGTGATATAAGAGATGGACGTAGGAAAAATTTTTGTATCGTCGAGCAAGCAATGCCCGGCGGCATCGTCGGATTCCAACATGCCATTACCGCGATACAACAACTTCGCTCAAATCAACGTCTCTGGGTGGGATCTGGCCATCCCAGGCCTGCCCGTCGCTAGTCAAGTCCATGACCAGCATTCCGGGGATTGAGGCTTCTGAGGCAGTGGGGCTGAGAGTGCCACTGCTGGAGCTGCAGCTGGAGCTGCTGGCAACAGTCCATCCGTCGCTAGAGTTGGCACGGCGGTGGTCGATGAAGCCCAAGCTAAAGTATTGGCCAGACTCTTCGTCTGCCACCTTGTGGTGGTCGCCAGTCTCGACAAACTCGTATTCCCATCGTGTCAGCTTGTCGGTCTGGCGTTGGGGCAGCCACCTAGCGCGAGAAGAGTAGTAAAAGGCGGCAGCAATGAGACCACCAGTCACCAGGTCGATGGCATAGTGGTGGCTCAGGTACATGGTCGCCCACCAGACCCAGCCAGCGTAAGCAGCAAAGAAGAACTTGAACTGGGGGAAGCAGTGGCTCATGAACAAGGCCTCAAGGACAGCATTCGCAGCGTGGAGAGAGGGGAATGCGCCAAATGGAAGCGGGGCATTGGTGAAGTTGGTCGTGTACAGGTCAATGCCGAAAATCGCGTCGACACGAGCCAATCCAGCGGGTGATCCGGGCATGCCGTAAGCAGCAGGGACAAGTCCATGTTCGTTCTCATACCACGGCGGCGTGCAGGGGAAGATGAGCTGAATAGTAACGCCAAGAATGCTCATCCAGCCAAAGGCACGGGCGAAGACGGGGGTGGTACCAGGAGCGGAGAAGATGAAGATGATTAGAGAGCACACTGCAGGCGCTCCGAAGTGCATGATGCCGTAGGGAAGCCAAGCCAGAATATCCAGGATAGGGTGCTTGTGGGCCGAGAGAATGTTGGACAGGTTGGCGCCGTAGAGAACGTTTTCCAGGGCGGGCAAGATTCGAACCCAAATATGAGGACGATACTCGGTAGGGATAAATCTATACAAGACAGGGCGGAATTAGCAACATAGCTCTGGGGAGCCCAATTGAACTGAAGAGCCAACTCACCGACTAGTGAAAAAGTAAAGCAGCCAGACCCAGATGGGAAGCGACGGGAGGAAGAACTGGCGGGTGGCCGGCATGGAGAGAACCCACGCGGCGCCCATGAGGGCAAACAGCTTGAGGGCCGGAGCCGGAGGAGCCATGTAGAGCGAGAAGAGCGTCAGCCCAGCCAGGACGACGTATTGCAGGTCGGCAAGACGCCATTGGTGCTTCTGCAGGTCTCGCAAGCCGTCCCAGAAGTTGAACGAGGTCTGCAGGCTCGTGATGTCCTCGCCGCGATGCGTCGTGTTGGACTTTGCCCGGGGGCGCCGGCGAACGTAGCGGGCGGGAAGGCGGTTGAGGAAAGCCAAGTTGACGTGCTCCGTCAGCAGCGCCGGCAACTTGGGCTTTCCCGATCCAAGATCCATCATTGTTGCTAGAGTTGTTTTTGCCCAAAAAAAAAGTAATGTTCAAAAAAGAACTGCAGGCCGCCTGGTCGTGCAAGGGCGGAGAATTGTCGCGAATCTTTTTGCAGCAAAAGAAGAAGGAAAAAAGCAACCCGTGGTGGAGAATTGGGGGAGAAAAAAGGAGTCGGCAGCGATGCTGGTTCCAACAAAGTACGAATACAGCGGATTTGCCCCCAAACACTATCTCATAATACCCAAGGACGGAAGCCAAAGAAGCAGCAATTTGCGTGGACTTGTCGCAGCCGAGGCGTGTCGAGGCACGTGCAGTTGGGAAGCGGCCGGCGACGCAGACGAAGGGACGACGAGCAGGTTCCACAGGCCGATGGGACAGGATTGTCGTGGGCGCTGCAGGGCTTTTGCGTGCGTAACGAGGCAAAAGGCCGCTGTGGATGGTGTTGTTCCAAGGGACAGAGAGGGCGGAAGGGCGGGAGCGCCAAAGAGGAAGGCGAGGGAAGAGGAGGGAAGAGGTCAAGTCGGATAGAGAGGACAAAGGAGAATGAAGCCAAACGGAGGAGGAGGGGACAAGTCTAGTATGTAAAGGTCGAGCAAAACTGGTCGTAAGTGGCAGCAGTAGGTGAGGTAAGACAGGGAATGATGACAAGGTGCAGGAGGGCGGTACGAGGCGCTGGGTACCTCCGAGGCGTGCGAGTTGAGTTCAGGTTGGTACGGGTTCAAGTACAAGTACGGGTACAAAGGACAGGAAGTGTGTCGTGTGGCGCGAGAACCTTGCACAGGCATGGCGGACGGAATTAGTGCGGACAACGGCGCTGTGCGTGTACAGCAAGCACAGGCTCCGAACGGGTCTGTAGGTACCCTTGGCGGCGGTACACGTACTCTAGGTACTGTACATGCGATACATGGCGGGTGTCTTTTTTTTTCTTTTTTTTTTTTCTTCCTTCCCTTCCCTGCTCACCCACTTTTCTTCGTCTAACGGCTTTGTCCCTTAGCGCGCGTGGGACGGACACCCGGACTCTGCGCTGTTGCGGCGCAAAAGGCGATTTGGATTCGATGGGTCAACCTCAGGCGCTGTGATTAGACAGGGCCCGGGCTAATTTGGGGACAGCCCCGGAAGCTGCGGCCCATGGGTACCGATACCTCGCAGCGCCGTACCCTCGATTGGCTCTTTGGGGCGCTCGTGCTAGCGCTCGTCCCACGTACTACTAAAGGTGCGCTCTGCAACTGTGGACGGGCAGCGGTCGTAGTGTGAAGATTTGAGTGCCAGCCACCGCGCGCTGCAAGTCCAAGTACCGGTACTCGCATCCAAGGCTGCAGCCGGCCCCAGCCCAGGCAAGCAAATCCCTGGAGCTCTTGGCGGCTTGGCCCTGGGCGCCTGATGGTGAAATTGCACCCGGTCTGCGAGCGCTGTGAGTGGCTGCGGCGGCTTCTGGTGGGGGACGCCCACTAACTTGCTGGCCGAGAATGCCGGGATGCATGGCGATGCGCACAATTCATGCGTTCTGGTGCCCGTGGATGGTCGGGGGGCAAGGAAAGAAATTGTGATTGTGCTCGGTGACGGAGCCGCGCTGCTTCCGCCCGCGAGAGCATCAGCTTCAGCTTCGGGTCGATCAATTTCACCTTGAATCTCATCTCACCATGGCAGCTACCACATGGCAATTACCGTCCCGTCAGACTTTGAATGAATCAGCTAATACGCGTACCTTTACTCTTACATTCAATTCCGTCTTTTGGGACGAATACGGCATCTGTACAAGTACGAATGGTACATACAACGACGGGGGGGACTGTCCGCCTTGACGAGGCTAAAAGAATGTGGAATCGGGCCAACTCGACCATGACGGACTGACGAATCTTTCCACCGCAAAAGCTTCTTTCAATGGAATAAAACGGTCCAGCCTACGAAAGCTTCTGCTAAGCACCTGATTAATTATCGCAGTAGCAGTACTATCGTCGTAAATTCTAAGCGTCCATGACGTCTAATCTATTTCAGATGAAGCCATTTTGCCATGTGCCTACAGTTGGGGAGCATCCCGCGCGCTCTGGATAAGATACTTTGGTAAGGTGGGTTGGAGGTCCTTGATAAGTCGGGCTGCCGGAGGTTGGTAAATGCCGATAAGAGAGTGAATCAACATCCATGGCATTTGATCCAAAGTGGTCAGTGGATTCTCTATTGCGGCATCTTTGGCGGCACAAGGAAATACAAGAAGAAAAACGGACGCTTCGGCGCCGGGTCCCTCTCCAGCTCGACCGAGACTTCTTGCACTCGTTGAGAGAGACCAACTGAAGTTGAAATGCATGCGAGTCGAGGCACTTGAGAATGCCGGCTGTGGCGCTTGGATGGCGCCGCTGCGAACAAGAGAAGAGCCGAGACCCCTCCCAAAATAGGAAGAAGAGCAAAAAAGAGCAAGATCAAACAGGGTTCGATCGATACAACGAGTAGAATCGCAGCCGGGTCACGCGATGGAAGCCAGTGGACGTCGACAAGAGCACACAAGCGGACGCTCGTGGTTGGATCGTGGCCTCAAATCCAGCTAATGCGCCAAGGTCAACTAGCGCACGACAGTCACACTTTTTTTTTTCTCCCTCTCTCTTCTCTGCATGTCGTCTGTTCCGTGCGGTGAGCAAAAAGCGCCTCGGCAGAGCGGGCCTCCAACGTGTTCCGTGGCCGCAAGAACATCCAGCACACGTCGAAGGGAGGATTGGAAATTGCAATGATGAAAGAGCTTCATCTTACTGCTTTGTGACATCCCCGTGTAATAGAATCGAGGCGTTACAGACCAGGAATGCTTTGAACCCTGTGCTTCTTGGCTCAGGCCATTTCAGGCGCTTACCTCTTCGCTCTTTGTCCCAAGTCCGCGAAATAGGGATCGATGGATTGGGCCCCGAGAATGGTTCACATCACCTTGCACCCCTGGCTGCATGGAGCAAGGCCTTTTCCTGGCGCCCGAAGTTTCGAACGGGGCCGAAAAAACTCGAGCCCTCATCCAACGGCTCTCCGGCAGCACTCTCTTTCAAAAGCAATGCTCCGGGAGTCCGCAGATACTAGTATCAATTCCCGCTACTTGGGTTGCCAATAATAACCGCGCGCGCGCGTTGATTCCTTTCAAGCTTTGCCTCTTTTTGCCTTTTTCCTCAACCATTCTAAGCGACGGGCGTTGGCCGCCATCGCAGCCCCGATTTCTCATCGTCACTTGGTAACAGTTCTGTGGAGTCGAAATGTGCCGGGAGTGCAACCCTCTCGGGCAGCATGGCGAGATATCGTGCAGGCATGAGCGAACTGCTCTGATAGCGGTGGAGAGGGCAGGTCACAGGAAAAGTCGGCTGACAAAAACAAAATGGAATCTCGCTGCTTGTTTAAGCAGCGACTTTGCCGACTTGCCCAGCTCAGTAATTGCTGCTCTTGAGAGCGCCCAAGGATGGCGACAAGCGCACTAGGCGGTCTCGGCTCTCTTACCATCTCACCCAGCAACCTCGTCTTGGGACCAATATGTACTTCTCGTACGGCGGTATACTGTATCGGTTATACTACGAGTACGCGTAAGCGCGCTGTCTGATCGAGACTCTGTTTCATATCAAGCTACGTTTTATGCCTGTTTGCGGGACCACGAAATAACCCAGGCGTGTCAAGTGATTATAGAACAACAGATAAACACAAAGCCCAGGTCCGTGATGCTGCTAAGAATGTCCCTCTTTCTTATCAGTTCAAATGCGCTTGCGAGATCTCCGCCGAGTGACCGACTGCAACTAGGAGAGTGGTCGCGTGGCCTCCACTCCGCATGCGAGAGATCCAATACGTGTATCAACCAGCTCGCTTGACTCGCTGAAGCTGTCCACGGAAACGTCGAACAGGAAGCTCGACAGAAGCACGGCCGTTGATCCCCAGAGACGGATCGGCCGTAACCACATGCCCACGGACACATCTCTCTCGTGACCCCTGTTTTTTGCGAGCGGGAATCTCGGGCGGCATGCAGCTCCCAACACACAAACCTAGCCCGGGCTGTCTGTCTGTCTCTCTTCCGCAGGTGCCAAACCCGAAAAGAAATGGTGAGGGTGTGAAGCTGGGCGACTTGCGGCTACTGCAGTGCGAGCTAGAAAGAGGAAAAAAAAAAAACAGAAAAAGTGCTATGACGACATTGAGCAGCCCCCAGTTCCAATCCGGACAATTCCAGCCAACGACCCTTTTCCTCGCTCTACCTTTTTTTCTTCTTCTTATTTTCTCTCTTTGACGAACCAGATTTCGCGGAGGCGGCCTTTTTTCCCATGCTAACTCTCTTTCTTAGCGCCCAGTGGCTCCGATGGAGAAGCACCTAAGAACCTGTCTCTGTACCAGTACGTCGGGCGTATGTACTTCCTCGCATGTACCTTTTTGGTCTTGTGCCTTTTCCACGGCCGAATTGTCTTCCATGTCATTTGTGACGGTGTGATTCTGTGCTTTGATTTTTTTTAGTGCACAGGCGCGTGCTCTGACATGTGAGTTTTTTTTTTTTGCCGATTCTGTACTTGTAGCCCTACAAATTTCCCTCCGCAAAAAAAGGGAAATTAGACGCGGGCTGGCGAGAGCGAAGGTCTGTTTCGGCGAGTTTTTTTCGCCTGTCGCACTTGTTTTCAAGGTTCTTTTTTAGCGACGCATTCATCATCACCTCGGCTATGAGCTCCGCAACTCTCATCAAAGAAACTACAAGCATTTCAAACTCTTTGATAGAACTCAGTGACGACACCGCGGCTAGTCCTATCCAGATCACGTCAGCTCAGCTCAGCAGGATCGGGCCTCTTGTTACGCTTGAGCCAACCAAATACTCTACTGCGCCTCGCGTTGCCCAGTTGCGTCCTTGTGTTTTGTAGCTAGTTCTGCCTAATCGAGCCTATATCGTTCGTTGGCCTTTGCAACACCATTTTCTCAGTCAAGGGATAGGGTGTGTGAACATGTTTGGTGATGACAATGCTACAGAGTGAGACCACTCGCCTGCATAAACTCATCACACCATTCGCCAAAAGCTGAACGAACC